TGTTGAAAGAATCTTTAAAAAAAATAAACTGAAGCCAAACATAGCCTCTTTCTATACCACCAGCTGGTACACTGATACAGATGGGCTCGTAGAACACTCACCCAGCTGGAGAAACCTATACTACTAGCGGCCAACTCTCCAGAAGATAATTCTGTCTTTTTTGGGTTCTGCTCTCCCCTCATATAAAGAACCCTAAAGATTCCATCCCAAAACTTCTAGAACTGATAAATGAATTCAGTAAAGTAGCAAGATGCAAAATAAATATCCAGAAATCAGCTTCACTTTTATACACCAATAATGAAGTATCAAAAAGAGAAACTAAGAAAACAATCCCATTCACAATTGATTCAAAAAGAATAAAATACCTTGGAATAAATTTAACCAAGGATGTAAAATAACCTATGTTCAAAAAATTATAAGACACTGATGACACAAATAGGTGGAAGTATATAGTGTGCTCACGGGTAGGAAGAATTAACTTTGTAAACTGGCCATTCCACCCAAAGCAATCTATACATTCAACACAATGCCTATCAAGATACCAATGGCATAAGTCATAGAACTAGAAAAAATATTACAAAAACATGTATGGAACCACAAAAGACCCCAAGTAGCAACAGTTATTTTGAGAAAGAAGAAGAGAGTTGGAGAAATCATACTACCTGATATCAAACCATATATACTTCAAGGCCATAGTAATCAAAACAGCATGGTACTGGTATAAAAACAGACATACAGATCAATGAAACAGTATAGAGAACCCATAAATAAACCAATGCCTTAATAGTCAATTAATATTTGACAAAGGAGACAAAAACATACAATGAAGTAGAGATAGTCTATTTACATGGGGAACATACAACAAATATGTGCCCCCAAAAAAGAATCTAGACCACCTTTTGGTGGTAGGGGGGATTTAGGCCTCTAATTCATGCTTTGCCTGTGTTTATACTACACTTTTATTTCTTACTGGCTGATTAAATTTTTTAAAGTGTATTTTATTGATTACACCATTATAGTTGTCCCATTTTTTTCTCCCCTTTATACCCCTCCTCCTTATACCACCCCCTCTCCAGCATCTCCTCCCCCGGCCCGGCCCCTTTTAGTTCATGTCCATGGGTCATACATATAAGTTCTTTGGTTTCTCCACTTCCTATACTATTCTTAACCTCCCCTTGTTTATTTTGTGCCTACCTATTATGCTTCTTATTCCCTGTACCTTTTCCCCCATCCTCCCTCTTCCCCTCCCCACTGATAATCCCCCACGTGATCTCCATTTCTGTGATTCTGTTGCTGTTATAGTTGTTTGCTTAGTTTTTGTTTTTTAGATTCAGCTGTTGATAGTTGGAGTTTGTTGTCATTTTACTGTTCATAGTTTTGATCATCTTTTTCTGAGTAGGTCCCCTTAACATTTCATATAATATGGGCTTGGTGATGATGAACTCCTTTAACTTGACCTTATCTGGGAAGCACTTTATCTGCCCTTCCATTCTAAATGAAAGCTTTGCTGGATAGAGCAATCTTGGATGTAGGTCCTTGCCTTTCATGACTGTGAATATTTCTTTCCAAACTCTTCTTGCCTGTAAGGTTTCTTTTGAGAAATCAGCTGATAGTCTTTTGACAACTACTTTGTACATTAACTGTCTCCTTTTGTCTTGCTGCTTTTAAGATTCTCTCCTTATCTTTAATCTTGGGTAATGTAATAATGATGTGCTTTGGTGTGTTCCTCCTTGGGTCCAATTTCTTTGGACTCTCTGGGCTTCCTGGACTTCCTGGAACTCCATTTCCTTTGTCAGATTGACGAAGTTTTCCTTTATTATTTGTTCAAATAGGTTTTCAATATTTTGCTCTTCCTCTTCTCCTCCTGGCACCCCCATTATCTGGATATTGGGACACTTAAAACTGTCCCAGAATTTCCCAAGCTTGTCCTCATTTTTTTGCATTCTTGTTTCTTCATTCTGTCCTGGTTAGATGTTTATTTCTTCCTTTTGTTTCAAACTGTTGGTTTGAGTCCCAGTTTTGTTCCCTTCACTGTTGGTTCCCTGTATAATTTCCTTTATTTCACTTTGTGTAGCCTTCATTTCTTTCTTTATTCTGAGACCAAGCTCAATCAATTCTGTGAGCATCGTGATTACCAGTGTTTTGAATTCTGCATCACATGGGTTGTCTATCTTCTCATCGCCTGGTTCTTTTTCTAGAGTTTTGTGTTATCTGTTCTTTCGTTTGGGGCCATATTTCTTTGCCTCAGCACACCTCTTACGTGCTAAAGGGTGGAGCCTTAGGCATTTGTCAGTGTGGGGAAATCCTCTTTGCTGCATTGCAGCACTGTCTGTTGGGGAGGGGTCAGAGAGGGAACAATGGTGCTTGCTCTGCTCGCTCTGCTCTCGTCCCACTTTCTGTCACTTCCCTCGCTTCCCACAAGTGGACTGTGCCCTTTCATATGCTGATTTGCAGGTGGGTGGGTTTACCTACGTTTTAGGACCCTGTGGGTCTCCACAACAAACTCTCCTGTGAGGCTGGGAGTTTCTCCCACTGCCACAACCCCCACAGCTTTTTTATAGCCAGGGTTTTGAGACTTTAGTTTCCTGTGTCGAAACCCTGGGTTTCACAGTCTTGTCTCGCTCCCCATGTTGCTCCTCCTGGTTTATCTGCACACAAATGTGGGACTGCTCCATCCTCCAGCTTCCATCTTGCTGCTCGTCCTCTCCACCTTGGTTGCCCAACTCTGCTCTTTCTACTGGTCTGAATGAATGTTTCCTTAACTCCTTGGTTGTTGGACTTCCATGCAAATGATATTCTGGCAGTTCTGGTTGTTCTTTGTTTTTAAATTGGTTGTTATCCTGTTTTTGGTTGTGAAAGGAAGCAAAGAGTTTCTGCGTATGCCTCCATCTTGGCCAGTTCTATAGACAGATTAGACCACCTTTTTATACCATACACAAGAATAAACTCAAAATGGACTGAAGACCTAAATGTCAGATTCAAAACCATGAGAATCTCAAAGGAAAACATAGGCAGTAAAATCTTGGACATTTGTTGTAGCCACATTTTTTCTGATATATCTCCTTGGGCAATGGAAACAAAAGAAAAAATATACAAATGGGACTACATCAAAATAAAAAGTTTTTGCACAGCAAAGGAAACCATCAACACAATGAAAAGACAACCCATTGGATGGGAGAACATATTCACTAATACATCTGATAGGAGGTTAATATCCAAAATTTATAAAGAAACTCAACATCAAACAAACAATCCAATTAAAAATGGGCAAGGGACCCAAAAAGACACTTCTCCAAAGAGGATATACAGGTGGCCTGTAGACATATAAAAAGATGCTCAATATCACTAACCATCAGAGAAATGCAAATTAAAACCAGAGTAAGATATCACCTGACATCTGCCAGAATGGCTATTATCAATAAATCTACAAGCAACAAGTGTTTGCAAAGATGTGGAGAAAAGGGAACCCTTATACATTATTGGTGGGAATGCAGACTGTTTCAGACACTGGAAAGAAGTATGGAATTTCCTCAAAAAATTAAAAATGGGACTGCCTTATGATCTAGCAATTCCAATTCTGGGAATTTAACCGAAGAACTCCAAAACACTAATTTGAAAGAATGTATGCACCCGCATGTTCACTGCAGCGTTATTTACAATAGCCAAGATTTGAAAGCAGCCCAAGTGTCCATCAGTAAATGGGTAGAAAAAGCTGCGGTACATTTACATAATGGAATACAACTTGGCCATAAAAGAGAAGAAAGTTTTACCCTTTGCAGCAGCATGAATTGAACTGTAAAGCACTATGCTAAGTGAAATAAGCCAGTCAGGGAAAGGTAAGTACGGCATGATTTTACTCATATGTGGAATATAATGAATAAAACTAACTAACAAGCAAAATAGAGACAGACTGGTAAGTAGAGAGCATGCTGACAGCTGTCAGAGCTGGGTGTGGTGGTAGAGGGATTGAGCAAAAAAAGAAAAAGGAGAGAGAATTCATGTACATGGACAACAGTGTGGTAACTGCCCAGGGAGGTGGGTGGGGGAGGTCGAGGAGGGTTCGGGGATGATAAACAGTGATGAACGGAGACTTGACTGGGGTGGTGAACACACAATACAATATACAGATAATGTGGTGTAGAACTGTGCACGTGAAATCTGTATAATGTTAACCAGTGTCAACCTAATAAATTCAATTAAAAGTGCCACCTCAAGACAGGCAGGCACAAACCTGTTGCTATGGGCCCTTCATCACCAGGCTAACACATGGCTCTCCTAGAGGGACTTGCCTGCATCCATTTGTTTTGAGACTGCTTTGTTCCTCCAGACTATTTGAAGCTGATTGTTTAGTCCTTGTATTATTTCTGCAACTTAGCTCCTCTGGACAGTTTTTATGTGAGTGAGGGAAGAAAGCAGGAGAGAAAGTGAAGTGTCATGGAAGAGATTTTTTTAAAATATAAAGTATAGTACTTGATAAATATATTCTTATACCACATTTTAATTTTAGAGTCAATATTTCTATTATCCAAAGAGCAGCCTTGACAAAATATTGAAATGAAGCTGGCTTCTCCCTGTCATCTAGCATCTCTTTCTCTTGCCTATTAATGCAAACTCAGAGAACATGAAGTACTTTTAATGTTAACCAAACCCAAATACAAATGTGGAGGCAAATCTAATGCTACTTAAAAAAAAATGGAGAAGAAATAGAAGGAGCGGGGAAGTAGGGGAGCAGTAGGAACATATGCCCTATCCAAAGCTAAAAATAATACTAATTTTCTTGTTTACCTTCTATAGAATAATGCTATAGTCTAATGCTCTGAAAGTAAGTAGTTAAGAATTATTCATTGTTTTGTACTATATGCCACTCCATTCTATTAACCAGGAAGGAATATAAAGGTCGATCAGAAAAAAAAGTGCTTTTAAAATGTAAAGTAATTATTAGTATACAACATTAAAGGTTAGGATGTTCATAAAATTACAGTATTTTCGTATCTGCTCACCTCTGACATATCGTGCACCAGCAAGAGTGGAACACTTATTGTTGTGATGTCGTGGGTACAGCAAACCTTGAGTATATTCCGGAGTCCCATAATGGCAGGGTCACGAGCAGTGATGTTTCCAGATTTCACATTGTCATCCACACAAAGATGGAAAGCAACATGGATTTCTGAGAGATTAGAATGCCGTGTAATGTAAAATTCTCCTGTGAATAACAAACAATCATGATTTTCAAACAGATAAACCACCACCCTCAGTGGATTGTATAAATGACTATAATGGGCAATCAATGTGTTAAACTAGTAGAGGTGTATCAGCAACCAATGTTGGGCTCAGGAAGAAAATATGAGTACTGCTTCTAAATTCTTGGGAAGAGGTGATGAAAAAAGAGGCAATAGCTAATTTTGCATTAGGTTCATAAATTGGTGTGAAATGACCACCAATTAGTAAGTAAATCAAATGAGTCTTTGTCATCTCTATGTTGAAATAAATGCTCAAAATGTCCTACTTGACTCAAACTTAATATGTAAAAACAGGTTACTTGGTTACCACACCCTAAATCTGCTCTTCTCCATCTCAATTTATGGGTCCAATTTCTGTCCAGGTATTTGCTCAGGACAGGAAGAGAGCAGTTGCCCTTCATTACTTTTTTCTCTCAATGCCTCTTCCCAATCCCCAATCCAACCAATTCACCAGCAAATGTTTTCAGTAATATCTCCAACAAATATCTAAAATCTGAGAGCTCCATTTTTGTTGCTATTGCCCTAGTTCATGCTACCACCATCTCTCACATAGCTTTTTGCAATAGCCTCTTAATGAATCTTTCTGCTCCCATTCTTGCCCACCTACAAACCATTTCCACATTGCAAGCAAAATGACTTATACATAAATCAAATAATATCACTCCCTTAAAATCATCCAACATGCACACACCACATTCAGAAAAAAATCCAAACTCTACTGTGGTCTGCAAGGGCTGTATGATCTGAAAATTGCCTATGTGTTTCACATCCTCTTGTTTCAACCTCTCTCTTCCTGTCCAGTCACAATGGCTTTTGTTCAGTTCTGCAAACATGCAGAGCCTGTTCCCAATTCAAGGCTGCTTCATAAAAGCGTACCTCAAGATTCTTGTACGGCTGACTTTTCATTAATCATGTCTCAGATCAAAGGGCACCTTCTCAGAGAGGTCTTCCTGATTGTCCCAGCTGCTGGATGACTCTCTCACCCCTCACTTACTCTATTTCACATTGTTCTGCTTTATTCTTAGCACTGAAATTCTTTTACTGTTTGTGAGATCGTTTTAGAGAGACCATTGTTTACACTCTAAAACTATAGGCATTTTGTCTATCTTGTTTAATATTCTATCTCTAGCACATAGAACAGTACCTTGTTCATTGAATGTGGTCAATAAATATTTGTTGAATAAATGAACAAATATTTTAGATTGAATGTTGGAGCAATAGTTATTGAACTTTAAAATCTATGCTTCTTACAATCATTTTTCCATTGTCTATGTAGCCACATTAGCTACACTACCTTTTATATTCTGTAGTTTCTGTCAATATAAATAAATAAAAAACATATAAAAATATGTTTTTAAAAATCACATCGTTCCCTGGAAATTCTGATGTGTCCTTCTATGAAAGCTTCTTCTCCTCTAAGAAATACTTTTCTATCACTAATGCTTGCCCTTACGAACTTCCCACCTTGGCTTCAAAGTCATTATCTTAGATTTTACTTACATTTCCTTTTTTAAAAAAGACTTTATTTATTTATTTTTAGACAGAGAGGAAGGGAAGGAGAGAGGGAGAGAGACATCAATGTGTGGTTGCATCTCACACATCCCCTACTGGGGACCTATTCCACAACCCAGGCTTATACCCTGACTGGAAATTGAACCAGTGACCCTTCGGTTCACAGGCTCACACTCAATCCACTGAGCTACACCAGCCAGGGCAGATTTTACATATATTTACTTATAAACATATAACATAGTTAAAAGTACTTAATATACTTTAGCAAAATGTTTAATCATTTCTAGTTACCAGTGTACATAAGCTATACCCATGGATGCTGCTGATAGGACCCAGGAAAAGGTCTTTTTTCCTAAGATAAAAGAATTAGTTTAACAGAAAAATAAATTGAAGAAAGGACAATGACATAAGTATCAAAATAAACTAGTCAAAAAGTTAAAAAATTGATGAAATATATTGATAGTTTATTACAATTTCTTGGAAGGCAACACAAGACAGAGACAGCTTATCAGAAACCTAGTAAATTCCCTCTGAGAGAATATTCTTCTGTGCCCAACTACTGATAATTTAGGTGATGGGAATCGTAGCATTAAACACAGGCTATGGTCCAGTAGTGAGGCAGATGACTTAGTGAACAAGTCAGGTGCTGCTAATCCCCAAACTGCACGGCTTCACTGACCTCAGATGACCTGTCTCTTGGCCTCATTTTACCTATTAGGAAAATGGGGGCCATGGAGCTGGCACTAGTATTCAAAGTAATATAATACAGCAGAAAAAGGACTAGATTGGGTGTTAAGAAGATCGGGTCTCTAGCACTTACTGGATAAGTGACCTTGGATAAATCAGCTCAACTTACAGACTCTTCGTACTTTGTGTAAGAAATGAAAAAATGCCTGACTGCTTTCCTTACAAAGTAGCTGTGAAAATTAGATGATATACACTGTAAATACTTAGATACCAATAAAGCAAAACTACAGGTTAAAAATTATAGAACTAAAACTTTTTCTTTGCAATTAAAAAATTTTAAAGCATTTGTGGTTTGGATCCTTTCTCTCTCCTGTCTACTTCCTACCTGTGTAGGCATCCTTTAACTAAATGGAAATCCAGATGTTATCAGCATATCTAACTGAACAGTTTAATATTCCTTTGTTTAATGCAGACTTATGACATACCTTCCTGATTTGGTAGTGGTAACAAGATACTAACCTAAAGGCTTTTTCTAAAAAGGAACAAGGAAGGACATAAATACAGCAATAAGGAGTTAAGTTTAAAAAAAAAGACATCAGTACTTCCGGAATAGATAATAAGATTGTCACGTTTTAAGAAAGCCACAAAACACGGATGATTTAAATGATGGACCTATGAAGAGAAATACAATGAATCCTGCCTCAACGAAGGTATTTTTAGATGGAGAGCACAGTTTCCTGTTCCACAAAGTGAGGGAAACAGCATGTGGTGAGGCAATCCTGACTCTAACATTATCCACTAAGGTAGGATATCTGAAGGTGGAAGGAAATTCAGAAGCTGATGACCACAAGTTAATTGACAGGGACTGACAAGATAATACCAGAAATAGTTATGCTACTTCCTTAGATTAAAAGGGATGTGACCCACATGTAGAAAACATAGGAAAGGAAACGTGAAGAAAAAAGTCTTGGTTATTTATGAAGCTGCAAAATGTACCATTTACTTTAAAAGACTTTACACTTACAGAGTAAACCAATAGGCCTCCTTCGTCATACACACCCTGCCACCCAAGCTCGACTACGGATCATGAGAGTGAGCTGAGTCTGGGGGAGGACAAAGAGACTGCATTTCCAGTTTATATACTACATATTCAAAAATAATAAGGAAATTAAAGAAATAGAAAATAAAAAAATTGGGGAAATGGAAATAAGATTCTAAATCAGATGACCCATGCTCTTTCTACAAGTTCAACTGTTTACATCTCTACATACCACTGTTTACATTTCAGTGTAAAAATTACTTATTAGTTTCTTTAAGAAACAAAGAAATGTATAAAAGAGGAAATGTGAAATAGCAAATAACAATAAAGTGCATGAAATTGCTTGACCAGGTTTTCTTTTATGGATCTGGAAAAGTCAGTACTAGTATAAAATTTAAATAGAAAAACTTCTGTGAAAGTTTATTATATAGATACAATGTTGTTTTGACAAACTTTTTATAAACTACACCATAAGAACTTATGTTTCAAATCTGATTTCAATGCATATGATTATAAGAAAATTGCAATTTAAAATAATACTTACCAGGTAAAATATTTAAATAGTTCCTATCAGCATTTTTAGTCTTATCATCACTTTCTCCATTTCGGCCCCCAGAATCTACACATAAGATAATGCAACATGAAAGAACGCACAACATATGACAACACATTACTATTACTATTTCTCAAGCAATCATAACAGCAAATGTTAACTAAGAATTTCTAGGTGCCAGGCATTCTGAGAGATGTTTTACATGCATGTCCTCATTTAATTCTTACAAAATGCCTACAACCACAATCTTATGAGGTACTTTTACTTCTTCATTTACATATGAGCAAACAGAAGCTTAAATAGGTTAATTAACTTAACCAAGAATGCACAGGTAAGTGATAGAACCAGGTCTTGAAACTACATAGACAGATTCCAAATTCTAGTATCTTAACCACATTAGACTTGCCAATATCCTATTTTTCATCTAAGAGTTTCAAGGCACTAAGTTAACAACACATAAAATAACTTCATTAGATAGTTGTCATGTGGCCATATTTATTTTTAGGATCTAAGTCACTCTTTTTGATATAACTTGTTCAGATCTACAAACAAATGGTTAGCACCACCAGAAATCACATTGTTAGTTCATATCTGACATTATATACAATTTATTTCAAATAGATAGATAAGACTGTTTCAAATGGAGGATTTTTTCCCCAAATAGTCAACAGTTGTTCTTTGTTGAAGGCATGATATTACTTAAAGCATAAATGTTGGTAAAAATGAGATACATCATAATTGACCACACATTGCTGTCGAATACAAATTATTTTACATGCATAGTTTTAATAAGAAGATACATATGAATTTCATAATAGGTCTATCAGAACTCAAAAAATACAGACTTAATATTAGCATTCAAAGTAACTCTTTAAGAAGCTGTATATTTATTCTAATACAAAACTATCTGGAATGGCCTTCAGCATCAGAAAATCTCTTGAAAAGAGTCAGAACTTCAAATGAGTAAACTGCAAATACTAAGGGAATATTATGGTTTCAAGAAAGTTCTGAATAAAAGCAACAATATCTTTATCTAAGGACCACTCTGCTAAATTGAGTTGTAATGCTGCACCTTGTTAATGCACATATGTCACAGACAGAAGGAGAGATGGGCACGAAGAGATGGCTCTGTGTGGCCAGCACCCACATTTAACGTGATATTTCTCACACAGAGCCACGTAATTGATGGGCTCTGAATAAACATCTGCCCATAGTACAGAAAACAAAGAACAACAAATAAAGACTGTAATTCTGTCCACATGGGTTATGAACAAATACAATCACTATTAAATAAACAAGAGACAGTTCACAGTCCATTTCCCTTTCCATGTTTTAATGGTAACACCTTGTAATACTAAGAAAATGGCTACTTTTCACTTTTAAAAAATGTATATAAAATATACACAAAAAACAAATTGTAGGAATATAAAGATACTGATATAAACACAGCAAAGAAAACAATGGCATGTCTTAGAATAAACAGGTACTTGTGTATCGGGATATGAATGTGTAGAACAAATAATGTGAGCATGCACAGAAAAGGAAAAGATGGAGGAAGTATTTTCACAAACTCTTCTGTAACAACATGCTGGTTCCTTTAAGAAAGTTGTCTTTTACAAACCTACTTGTTTCACTGACTCACTTAAACCACAAAATAGCTGCTTGAACAAGAACAAAATAATACCATGATGTACACACATTGCCTTAACTGTATGTGGTTTAAAAACTTCCTGTCATTTACTGCACACTTTCTATCATTCACAAATATACTTAGAATCCTCCTTCTCCCACACCTATCATGATCTCAATCTTCATGTTTTAGTCACCACTAAGAATAATATTAAAATGTTACTGATCGCATCACTGCTAGTCTGACTGAGATGGAGGAAAAGATGATAGATGAGTAAGAGGACCTCCTGAAATTTTCCAAATGATCCTCTGTTAGGATATGACCTCACATTGATTTCCTAGTACTCAGTCTGGCTCTGCCATATACAGCACATACTGTCACAGCAAAGCCACAGTTACCTATAGTGAGAACATAAATGGTAGAGCCACTTTGGAGAGTGACTGCTAACACTATCAAAATTATAAATGTATGTTCCTTTTAATCCAGGAATTTCTCTTAGGCAACCTATTCTATAGACATAGTCATATGTGCAAAGTTACTCATGCATTATTACTTACAATAGCAAAAACTTTGGAACAGACTAAATGTCTATTCATATGGAAATGATTAATAATGAGATATCCTGCAATAGACTACTATATACCATTAAAAAGGTATGAGGATGCTTTTTATGTACTGATATGATGTCCAAGATAAATTATTCAGTGAAAAAAGCAGAATTACTCTGTAATTTGAGTCAGAGTTTTTTCTTTTACCTATGTCTTCCCTTAAGTCTCTCTGTATACACAGAAAGCTTCTGAAGAGAGATGCCATGAACTTTTCCCATAGCTTTAAAATTATTTTCCAGCAAATTTCCTAAATAGTTAGAAAAGATGTTCATATTGTAAAAAGAGAGAGAAAAAGCAGGACATAGTTCTGGATATAGCAATTTTTTAAAAGAACCACCAAAAACAATTCTTGTTATTGACATCATGCTACCTAAGTGGGTAAAAGCTATAAAAAGTATGTGTTTTGTGCTACTATTTACTCTATGACTTCAATGCCATCTGCAGTGATAATTATATTCATTTTAGATACAGAACTTAGGTTGAAAGATAAGCAGCTTTCCACTAAATGCCTATTTCAAATGTAACTACAGAACTGAACTTTAAAAACAGTTGTCGCTAAGGATCTTGAAAAAAATTATGCAAAAAAGAGAATTAAGAACAGAATCTAAGCTCCTAAGGATCTTGAATTTTGTTCTTCATTCCTTTCTTCCACTTCTTCACCAATAAAATTTTCTGTATTTCAGTGATGGCCCATATGCTATTGAAGTGTATAGGGACAGAAAATACTGAAAGTGAAATTTGAAAAAAAATTGGTTTTACTGACCATGTGATTCTTTCAACTTACTCCTCCGCTGGGTTCTAGCATAAAGTACCACCTGCTGGACAACTTCCAGTTGTTCTTCAATTCGGGGAAAATGGAAGTCCGTGCATTCTTGACAAACTGTGGCAAAATCTAAGGAACCCAAAACATTTACAAACTTTAAAGGTGAACTATCAAATATTTAGTATTTACTTACAGACAAGAAGATCTGGTAAAATAGAATATAAAGTTTACAAGTATTTCTTATACTTGTCTTTTCAATGATTATGTCTTATGAAATTAGAGTCCAGTAATTTTGTTTTGATCAGAAATAATCTCTCAATCACTCAAAAGAGTAAACACTTAATAGACAAGGAAACTTTAATGTAATTCCAAGCCTTCTTTAAATAATAGATACTTTGATCATAATCTAGTCCCAAAGAGTGCTAAAAAAGTGTCAATGATAAAAATAAAGAGAAAAAAGCCCAAAATATAATAAGGTCCTTATATTTATGATACCAAATAAACTCTATTCAAGCTTCTTTTTAAAAGTTATTCATTTTAAAACATTTTACAGATTTAGAATTTTTAAAATAATCATAAAAAGTGAGAGTTGCAGTATGAGGGAAAGTATGAATTTTATCAAGCACATTTAAGAAATATGTTATTTAAAAAACAAAAAAAGGACAAATGGAGGAATTAAAATTCACTGAGCCAGGATCTATTTCTAAATCTAAAACTACATTTATATCTTGATTATTCTTTCTTTTTAAAAAAGATTTTATTTATTTATCTTTAGAAAAAGGGGAAGGGAGAGAGAAAAAGAGGGAGAGAAACATCAATGTGTGGTTGCCTCTTGTGAGTCCCCTCTGGGGGCCTGGCCTGCAACCCAGGCGTGTGCCCTGACTGGGAATCAAACCGGCTACCCTTTTGTCTGCAGCCCATGCTCAATCCACTGAGCTATACCAGCCAGGGCTGATTATTCTTTTTTAATACCTTGAAACAAAGACACTGTAAGAAGAAAAATCAGATATTCTGAAGCACCCTTCCCATGCTAAAGTATAAAACAAATCTAAAAGAGCTGTTGCTGGGTATGTTATTGTTTAGTCTACTTGAACACTGGTGTGACTAATATTTTTTTTCAAATTTTCCATAATTTAATTTCTGTAAGAATGGTATTTAATGAAGTAAATACATATAATATTAACTTACCTCTTTTAATACCACTGTATGAATTGATTCGATTATCTACTAATAAAACCAGGCCACAGAGAGATGTGGAATAAAGAGACAGAGCTGTCTGGAGTCGATGGAGTTTCACACCACTTCGATGATTTCTTTTGTGCTTACAGAAATCAAGCATATCTGCTCTCAGCAATCTCAAATTATGCATGGTCTTCAACTGAGCTCCTGGCGGGTACAGGCAACAATCCCAGAAAGATATTTAGCTGCAAACTCCAGTATAACAGGATACAACTCTCTATGACAAGAATTCATATAAATCTGTACTACAAATAATGAAAAATGGGCCTTGCAATTTCCCATTTTAATAATTATTAATATTTCATCTTTCTATTTGCAAAAAATAACAAACTGAAATAGAAAACTTATAGCCAACAATCTATAGGCTTTCACAGAACAGGATATACTTCATAATTATAAATAACATAGGTATGTTTTACTCATATGTTAAGAATTTTTCTTACATCGTAAACGGTTTCACAAGTTACAATAAATTATGACTATGAAAAATTAATACACTTACCTAGGTGAATGGTAAAACTTTCTTCTAACTTTCTCTGTTCCTCATAAATCCTTCCATTTGCTTCTACTGATTCTCTGAACTGATTTGGTTGAACTTTAATTTCTTCACTGAAATTAACAAAATTATTGATTTTTTAGGCATGTTTGTCAAGAACTTTTCTTAAAGAAAGCTTTCTAATGAAATGACACAAGACTAGCAGCTGAAAGTAGCACTTAGTTTATTGCTAAACTTATCCTTAATCTATAATGACAAGATAATAAGTACCAAGAGGTTCTAAAATCTGCAATTGTTCTTTCATTTCCTCAGTTAGTAATACATGTCATTCATTTTCAGTCACTATAATTTCAACTCATACATTATCATTTAATATTTCTTAATAGCCTAAGAGAATGATTAAAAGAAGTGACTAACGTTACTTAAAATAGCATATTTAAAAATACATAAATCATGCCCTTATATAATAAGGTATATACAAATATAGCCTTATTAGGGTTGGCTGTAGGCAAAACTAGAAAATAGGCAAAGTGATAGAAATTAAAATTAAAACTTAACACATCAAATAAGGAATAACAGAAAAAGGTAAAGTTCATTTGGATGTACTCACATTCTCTCTCTCTCTCTCTCTTTTTTTTACCATTTCCTGTTTTGTGTCCCCCCACACCCCTCCCACCGCCCCAACCAACATTTTCCTTCTATTAAAAATACTTCTCCCTGCCCTGGCTGGTGTAGCTCAGTGGATTGAGCGCAGGCTGCAAATCAAAGTGTCGCAGGTTCAGTTCCCAGCCAGGGTACATGCCTGGGTTGCAGGCCATAACCCCCAGCAACTGCAAATTGATGTTTCTCTCTCTCTCTCTATCTCCCTCTCTTCCCTCTCTAAAAATAAATTAAAAAAAATACTTCTCCCTTTGCTCTAGTCTGATCTCAGATTTCCTGAAAAGGTTTCCATAGAGGTACTACAAAAGTACAACTGTTCAATTCAAATTTCACAGCACACTGAAAATAATATAAGCCTATGATAGTAATCTATTCCCCTAACTACATTTTGGGGTTAATCCAAGCAGTCTCATTAGTCTCACTGACTTCATTAATATATGGCAAATATAAACCTAAACATAAATTTATATTAATAAAATATCATCTTAGGATACAAAAAGCCACAAAAGAAGGTCATTCCCACTCTAATAATAATAATAAAAAAAGCTAAATACAGGGTCCAGCACAAATAATGTCCCTTTTTTATTGCATAAAAATCTTTAATTACAAAATCAGAAGCATATGATTCTGTAATAACAATATCATACTCAAGCACACCATGTGACATTTTAGGTGACATATTCAAATTGCTGTACACCTTGTGCAAGACATTCACATACTCTACTAATTACACTCAATGGTGTTACTTTTGCTGGACCCTGCATATAAAATCATAACTTTTCTGGAGCCCATCAGATACTTGAGATAACAATACAACCAAGTAACTAAATTCTAAAGTGTGGCACACCCTCCAAGGAGAAACAGGACACATTTCATTTTTGGTAGAGCATGGTAGAAATGTGTTGCTGTAATGTAAGTGGGTAAGAGGAAATCAGCTAAAATTGTAACAAATTCTTAAAAGTCAAGTATAGGCTAGCAAATTTATAACAGCTATTTATAATAGCTATGTACCCCAAGCACAAGGGAAGTTTGCATGCGTTTGCAAAGTCTTCATTAGACTCCACTAGGTGCTTTGAAGAAAACAATGAGGGCAGGTCAGGAGACAAGAGCGCCACCTTGTTGGCACAGGTGGAAGTGCTGAGAATGTCCCAAGTCCAGGGCCTGAGTATATGAGGCTTGCCCAAGACTGAAGCTGGACAAAGACAACAGAGACCTGTCTCCCACCCCCAACTCTAAGCCTAGCAGCAAGTAACAAACAACAGTCTATTGCTGGGGGATCAAGCAACTGCACAGAGGAGACACATGCTATGGCAAGGCCTGCACAGATTACCATAAACTAAGGATGGAGCAGAATGACAGAGAAAAACCCTCTAAAACCCAAACAAAAAGTGGTAGCAGTTTACTACTATAGAAGATGAAGCTAGTGATGTCCTGAGGGAACAAGAACCAAACTCAGCTCAACTGCCAACTAGATTTGCATGACTTTCACATTAATGGCCTGTTCATTTTGGATATAAATATTATTTACCTTGGTCTCTTTTCTAATACATACAGAATTCATCATTCAGAGAGAGAGAGAGAGAGAGAGAGAGAGAGAGAGAGAGAGAGAGAGACCCAAAAAGGCAGACAAGAAAACAAACAAAAAAGTCATTGTAAATAGATAAAGCAATCAACATAAACAGATGACCCAGATTTTGGGACTAAAAGAGATTTTCAAATAACTATAAATAAAATGCTAAAAGATCTAGTGTAAAACAACACACAAGGGCAGATAAGGAATTCAAGCAAAGAGAGAAAGCAAATGAAAGTACTACAAATAAAACATGGTATCATCAGATCAATGGTAACAGATATCAACTCCTTTGACAGGCTCATCAGTAAACCGACAACTCATGTTATGAGGCCAATGTTCCCCCAATCTAAAAACCAAATGAAGATGTTATAAGAAAAAAAACTACAGACCAACATATACAGATATATTTCTTCATTACTTTATAGCAAATAATTTATTAGTATTTATATATAATATGATATACATCATGACTTATATATATAACTTTAAGTATAAAACTTCCAGAAGAAAACGGAAGAAAATCTTTGTAATCTTGGATTAGGCAAAAATATCTTAGCTACGATAAAACTGATCTAAAACAGGTGAATTTTACTTTATGTAATTTCTCCTCCAATAGACCTTACTTTTTTAAAAAAGCAAGCTGAATAACCAATGGAAGACTAGATAAAGAGAAGTCTTATAACCAAGAATTTACAGAAAAATCCACAACAAGACTGGTAAGAAGGGTGGAGATACAAAAAGGGCTGGCCCACTTCCTACGGGAGGTGGCTGAGGTTCCGAGGGTTATCTCAGCTACAGGGGTTCATTCTCAGCTGCAGGTATGTCTAAACCTCAAGATGGGCTCCCTAGTCCAGAGCACCAGAGTCGGGAAGAGGTGTCCACATAACATCTGTCCACCAGGGAGAGACAGGAGTCCGCTAGAGACACAGGAACCCTATCAAAAAGCTGATGCACAAAACTTCATTTGCAGCCACTCACCCTGGGCTCTGGTGGAAGGAGGGTGGAACCAACTACAGTCACATGAGGAGAGTCTGGGTTTGTGGCTATGAGGAGGGAGCTGAGGGAACAGCCACCAGGATCCCTGTGCTCAGTTATTTTCCCATACCACAGATGCCATTTTCCTTAGGGGGAGCACTCCCCTCCCTGCGTGTGGCATCAACTTTGGGGAAAGGATTAGCTCCTCTCTGGACTCCCTCTTCCTCAATTCCTGGAGCTTATGCCCAGCTGAGGAGTACAGCCAGAGACTCTTCCAGTGACTGAGCCTAACGGGACATCAGCTGGCAGAGGCAGGAAAAGGCAGATCTTATCAGGGTGCCTTGGGACTTTTGCTAACTGTCCTGGGGCCCAGTGCTGCTAAAAGCCAGCCTTGGCACACAGCTTGGTCCTTCCCATGTGCACCCAGGCCCAGCAGAGGCAGACACAACTGTGGATCACTTGAAGCTTCAAACAGGTTGCAGAGGGCCAGTCACAGGCAGTGTCTTACACTGACCTGCACCAGAGTCCCTCCCAAGAGGCCCAGAACCAACATTCCCAGTGGCCAGTTTCAGACAATATCAAAGCAGGCTAAAATAAGCTTCACAAGTAGCATAACCAGAGGGAGCACTCAGCAGGCACCAAATACCAAACACTTGGTGTGGCCAGTACCTGCACAGCAGGTCACATGCCATGGTTGGGGTTGAGCCTCATGGCCAGTCTGAGGGCTGATTCCATGCATGAACAGGCCAAAAGCAATCAAGACTCAATTACAATAGGATGGCTCACATAAACCACACAAGAGACATCTGGCAGCACCCATTTCAGGTGATAAAGGAGACTGCACTATTGGACCCAACAGGGAACTACTATATAAGGTCACCCCACAAAGACAGGGAGTCAGAGCAGATCTATCTAATACATAGAAACAAACACAAAGAGGCAGCCAAAACAGGAAGACAATGAAATGGAAGGCCCAAAATGAAAGAATAGAAGAAATATCCAGAAAAAGAGCTAAATGAAATAGAGGCCAGAAATTTAACAGATACAGAGTTCAAAGCAAGGGTTGTAAGGATGCTCAACAGCATGAAAAAGGACACAGAAACCATAAGAAAGGACCAATCAGAAAAGAAGAATATAATATCTGAAATAAAGAATACACTGGAAGGAATAAACAGGAGTTTAGATGAAGTGATTTGGAAAACAAAATAGAAAAAAAAAACACCCAGTGAGAGCAACACAAAGAAAAAAAAGAATTTTAAAAAGTGAGGATAGTTAAGGAACATTTGGACAACATAAAGTATAACAATATCTGCATCATAGTGGTACCAGAAGGAGAAAAGAGAAAGAGCAAGTGATTGAGAAACTATTTGAAGAAATAATGAAAGAAAACTTCCCTAATCTTGTGAAGGAAAAAGACACAAAAGTGCAAAAAGTGCAGCGTCCCAAACAAGATAGACCCAAATAAGCCCACACCAAGACACATGATAATTAAAATGCAAAAGGTTAAAGACAGAGAGAAACTCTTAAAAGTTGCAAGAGAAAGACAGTTACCTACAATGGAGCTCCTGTAAGACTGTCAGCTGATTATTCAACAGAAACATTTCAGGCCAGAGGGACTGGCATGACATATTCAAAGTGATGAAAAGCAGACCTAGAACAAAAACTACTTTACTCAGCAAGGCTATCATTTAAAATTGAAGGAGAAATAAACAGCTTCCTAGATGTGAAAAAGTCCAAGGAATTTCTTAACACCAACCCAGCATTACAAGAAGTGTCAAAGAGCCCACTTTAAGAAGGAAGAGGACAAGGTGGTGGAACAGAGGAACATAGTTAAAAGAATAAAATGGCAATAAATATGTACCTATCACTAATTACTTTAAATGTAAATGGTTTACCTGCACCAATCAAAAGACACAGGGTAGGCCCTGGCATAGTGCAGTTGCTAAAATCCTCAACAAAATATTAGCAAACTGAACACACTAAAGCATCAAAAATATCATACACAATGATCAAGTGGGACTTATTTCAGGAATGCAAGGATGCAACATTTGTATATCAATAAATGTGATTCACCACATAAACAAAATGAAAGATAAAAAACATATGATTATATCAATACATGCAGAAAAAGCATTTGATAAAAATGCGCCCATTTATGATAAAAACTCTGAGCAAAGTGGCAATAGAGGGAACATACCTCAACATAATAAAGGCCATATATGACAAACTCACTGCCAATATCATACTCAACAGGCAAAAACTACAAATGTTTTCCTTAAGATTGGGAACAAGACAGGAATGTCCACTTTTACCTCACTTATTCAATCTAGTACTGGAAGTCCTAGTCATAGCTTCAGACAAGAATAAGAAATAAAAGGCATCAAAATTAGAAAGGAAGTAAAACTGTCACTATTTGTAGATAACATGATACTGTATATGTGGGGTATGGGGAAGGGGTGGGCAATAGAGAAAAAGGAGGGACAATTGTAACTAAACAACAATTAAAAAAAACAAAGAATGCACAATTTTTTATAAATTAAAAAAAAGAAAACCCTAAAGATTCCATCAAAAAGCTACTAGAACTGATAAATGAATTCAAAAATGTAGTAGGATACAAAATAAATATCCAGAAATTGGTTTCATTTTTATATACTAATAATAAACTATTAGAAAGGGAAACTAGAAAATCAATCCCATTCACAATGCTTCAAAAAGAATAAAGCACCTAAAAATAAATTTAACCAAGGATGTAAAAGACCTGTACTTGGAAAATTATAAGACACTGAAGAAAAAAACTGAAGAAGATATAAATAAGTGGAAGTATATATTGTCTTCATGAATAGGAAGACTTAACATCATTAAAATGTCCATACTACCCAAAGCAATCTATAGATTCAGCACAAAAATACCAATGGTGTACTGCACAGAACTAGAACAAATATTACAAAAATTTATATGGAACCACAAAAGACCCAAATAGCAACAGCTATCTTGAGAAAGAAAAACGAAATTGGAGGAATCACATACCTGATATCAAACAATACTACAAAGCCATAGTAATCAAAACAGCACAGTAATAGCATAACAACAGACACATAGATCAATAGCACAGAATAGAGAGCCCAGAAATAAACCTACACCTTTCAGTCAATATATATTTGACAAAGGAGGCAAAAACATACAATGGGGTAAAAAGTCTATTCAGAAAATGGTATTGAGAAAATCAGACATATACATGCAAAAAAATGAAACTATTCCATTTTGTTATACCATATACAAGAAAAAGCTCATATTAAAGACTTAAATGTTAGTCTCAAAACCATACAAATCCTCAAAGACAGTAAAGGCAGTAAAATCTCAGACAATTCTCATAGTAATATTTTTTTTCTGATATATTTCCTTAAGCAAGGGAAACAACAAAATAATAAATGGGACTACATCAAATTAAAAAATTTTTACAGCCCTGGCTGGTGTAGCTCAGTGGATTGAGCGTGGGCTGTGAACCAAAGCATCACAGGTTCGATTCCCAGTCAGGGTACATGCCTAGGTTGCAGGCCACGTCCCCAGTATGAGCCACGTGAGAGGCAACCACACATTGATGTTTCTCTCTCTCTCTTTCTCCCTCCCTTCCCCTCTCTAAAAATAAATATATAAAATCTTTTAAAAAATAATTTAAAAAAAGTTTATACAAAGTAAATCATTAACAAAATGAAAATTCAATCCACTGAATGGGAGAACATAGTTGTCAATGATACATCTGATAAAGGGTTAAAATAATAAATTTATAAAGAACTTATACAAATCAACATAAAAAAATAAACAATCCCACTAAAAAATGACCCAAGGACCTGAACAGACACTTCTCCAAAGAGGATATACTGATGGCCAACAGCCATATGAAAAGATGCTCAATGTCACTAATCATCAGAGAAATGCAAATTAAAACCACAATTAGGTATCACCTCACACCTGTCAGAATGGCTATCATCAATTAATCAACAAACAAGTGTTAGTGAGGATGTGGAGAAAGGAGAACCCCCACATACTGTTGGTGGAAATGCAGATTGATGCAGCAGCTGTGGAAAGCAGTAGGGAGTTATCTCAAAAAGATAGAACATGGACCCTGACTCATGTGGCTCAGTTTGTTGGGTGTTGTTCTGCAAACTAAAAGGTTGTGGGTTCAATTCACCATCAGGGAACATGCCTGGATTGCAGGTTCAGTCCCTGGTTGGGGTGCTTTTCAGCACATGCAAAAAGGCAACCAACTGATGTTTCTCTCTCAAGTCAATAGTTTGCTTCCGTCTCTTTCTCCTTCCCTTCCTCTCTCTCTAAACCCTCTCTGTTTGTGTCTCTCTAAAAAGCAATGAAAAAATGTCCTTGGGTGAGGAGAAAAATAAAATGGAACTGTCTTATACTCCAGTGATTCCACTTCTGGGAATTTACCCAAAGAATCCAGAAACACTAGATCAAAAGAACATATGCACCCCTATGTTCATTGCAGCATTATTTACAACAGCTAGGATTTGGAAGCAGCCAAGTGCCCATCAGTAGATGAGTGGATAAAAAAGCTGTGGTATATATACTCGACTGAATCCTAGTTGGCTATAAAAAAAGGGGAGAAAATCCTACCCTTTGCAACAGCATAGATGGACCTGAAGAGTATTATGTACGTGAATAAGCCAGTCACAGAAAGACAAGTGCCATGTTTTCACTCTAATGGGAAATCTAATGAACAAAATAAACTAAGAATCAAAAGAATGACAGACATATAGAGAACAGGATGACAGCTGTAGAGAGGGACTGGGAGGTTTGTTGCAGGGGTGGTAGAGGGATTGAGAAAAAGAAAAAAACTCAAGAAAGGGACAAGAGTGTGGTTACTGGTGACTGCTGGTGAAGGGGGATGGAGGGAGGTATAGGAGAGTATGGGGGGATAAATGGTGATGGAAGGAGACTTGACTTGGGGTGAGGAACACACAATACAATATACAGATGATGTGTTATGGAATTGCGCACCTGAAACTTATATGATTTTGTTAACCAGTGTCACCCCAATAAATTCAATAAAAAGGAAAAAAAGTAAAATAAATAAAAATAAAATACATTTTTTATCAAGCTCATAGGAGTCTATGCGGGGTGGGGTTAAAGTTGATTTACAGTTTTTTGTATGAAAAATAACACAAGAATTACTAAATAATGATGCACAAATAGACTATGTTTTGTGTACTCAACTATAAATCTACTTTTGCCCCACTCTGTACATAGTTGTGTTGAAAACATATTTCTGTTGCCCAAGAAAACCTCTATCAAAACAGGAAAGCAAAATAATAAAGTCATAGTAAAAATACTCTTTCCTGGGAATATTTGGTTTCTAAAAGGAGCAGCAGCCAGAGGTCAATACTTACAAAATAGAATTAATCCTATATATTGAATTTCTGTAACTACAGCAGCAAAATGAAAGATAATTTTTGCAGAATGGAGGTTTCATAGCTTCACTAACTAAATTAGTGACATTCCACAATTTTGATAATATACAGTATATATTCTACATTTTGGCTCAATACATACATTCATTTATAGAAAGTTTCATGCATAGTGCATGTTGATATTTTTCCCTATTCTATTGTGCTCTGTTCCATTCCATTTCATCTTATTGTTACTTTAAAAGTCTGATTGGAAAGTAAAGAATCTAGAATGGTCCCTAGCAGAGTGCAACTAGCAGTCTGAGAAACGTCATTGTAATATTATGGCATACAGATGTTCCCAGTCCAGCTTTCCCTCCATCTTTCCCTTTTTATTGTATTCATCACTATTTTCATTTGGAATGAGTATAGTCAAATATGTTAGTGTTAAGAATATTATCCCATTTCTAATCATAACCATTGTTTAAGTATTTCTACCGTGTTGTCTTGGGGAAAACAATAAGGCAAATGAAAGATGATGATACTTAGATAAGAGGAGCTATAAGTATCAGGTAAACAGTTTGCTTGTATGTCTGCCTGTGTGTCCCCAGTCCATAAATACTTATTGAGCATGTATGTCTTAGGTACCAGTGCCAAGAGCTAGACACTTGGCAAGGATTTGGTATACAGCAACAAAAACAAATGTCATTTTTGTCTTCAAGGTAAGACTAATGGGGGAAACTGACATTATACAAATAAAATGCTATTTCTAAATGTTTGGAGTATATATCAGCTAATGCTAGAAATAGGATTACTGTACTATACTAAGTATATTTCCAATTGAAATATACTTTAGGATGTGGAAGAAGACATTCTCAAGTATATGAATGTATGCCCAGGAAACAACATAGGCACTGTCAAGTTCTAGGGTTATATATGAAACACAATGTACTTAGGCCACAGGTACCATACAAATTATGAATTACAAAAAGTCCTCTATACTATTATTGTACATTGTACATGCTTCTACTACTGCACGTATCACTCTGTACAGTATTGTTTTATTTACAGATCACTCTCAATAGAATATAAGCTCCACATGGGCAGTTATTGTTTTTATTTTCTGCTTAGAGAAAGCTTAGTATTTAAGATGTACTCACCTGATGTTTACTGAACTAAAGGAAACCAATTTAAAGAAACAAGAGATAGTATTTGGGGTATTTAGGTATACACATCTAAGAGACTTATAAGGCTAAGTTCTAGGGGAGAAATCCCTATTTTAAATCATCCAATTAATCCCCCTCTCAATCCACATAAAATCTGTGATATTTTTAAAGTATAAAATCATCTTAAATTTTCATTGGTAACTTAAAAATATCTACAACTAAAAAGGTTCAATTTTATAATAAACACAAATTATTACTAACAATAAACTTCCATCTAATAAAGAATGCATGATTAATACCTGAGAGAGATGTTGTTTGGATTTTTTAGGTCTTGATGAAGTTTTATCACCCATTCCTGATACTCTTGCTTTTGGATGGCAGTTGATTGTTTTAATTCATTTGACCATTTGTTTTCTAAATCCTAAAAAGAGTATATTGGCTAAATAATCTTTTTTACAAAAATAAGTAAGTAAAAAAAGAATAACTGCATATCTAACAGTCATTGTACTTCACTTACTTGCTGGGATTCAAAATGCTGAGCAGCCAGTGAATTTACATCTTGATCTGTCAGTGATTTTCCCAATTCCTGCATCACTTTTTCCATTTCAATGCCTTGTCTAAAACATAAATAAGATCATATATATTCATCAGAATCTGAAGGTATACGAACACTCCAGATTCTTTGAACAATCTCTGTGAAGTGAAAATACAATTTTCATTTTATAGGAATATGTCCAAGAATGGCAACTATAATACCTGGAAAGCATTTTGAAATGTCAGAAGTGGAGATGTGGAAATTATAATCATAACTTCATATAATTTAATATAAATATCATTTGTGTAGCTAAATTTTAATCTAAATTTAAGGCATAAAGGAAAGCAGTCAAAATCTAGGTCACCTTTCAATTTCCATGGCTAATATTTAAAAGCCCAGACCCCTTTTTATCAGCACATTTCCTCGAAGACGATACTCTGCAATTCCAGCTTAAATACAAGATTTCTATTTATTTGTACATGAGTTAAAGTAATGTCAACCTTTGGAAGTTAGTTTCTATTATAACCAGAAGCTGCCACTTAGGTTCTAAGAAGTGAAACTGATATTAAATTACAAGCTCTCTTTACAGAGGAATATAAAATACTTCTAGAGATATGTTTTAGTTTTACCTTCTTCATTTATCCAAATAAATAATGTACAGAAATTAAAAATGGTTTTCCCTGCAGGCAAAGCTAATCAATGGTATTATAAGTTCACATAATGGTTATGTATAGGAGAGAGATGGATAGTGATTAGATGAGGATGAGGGAGCCTCTGCAGTGCTGGAGGTATTTTATTTCTTGAGTTGGGTGATTATTACATGGGTGTAATTACTTTGTAAAAGTTTAGTGAGCTGTACGCCTACAGTTTCTTGCCCATTCTGTAATGTTTTATTTTAATAAATAAGTTCATTAAAATTTTCAAATCAAAAAATTATCTTCTAAAGTTTGTTCTAAAACATATTTCAAACAAACCTGGAAAGAATGAAACAGACACCAATCTAAAGAATTTTGTATCATTCTAGTTAAGCAAATTGCTCTTAGAAAAAAGTTTATACTTCTTTATAACAACTGATTAAGATAATTATATGTATATGATAAATGAAACTCACTCATATGTTATACATTTATACATTTCTATATATATATATCTTCTACTATTAAGCATTCAATGCCATTTAGTCCCCACTTAGTTCTAATGGAGTGGGGACTACATTGTTTTACTAACTACTAGAGGTCAGGAAAAGATTATGCTGGCAAGTAAGATTTTTATTTAAAACAGAAATAACTGCTAAATATTTATAAAAACAAACTTCCATGTGAATATATCAATATTTTACATTACACATGTTCCCTCTAGTGGATAAAAAATATCACTGCCATCTTGAAGTTATAAAACATTACTTGAATATGGTTTGCCAAAAGCAGCTAATTTCCAGTGAGGAAAAAGAAAGACTAACAGATAGGAACTCAACAAATAAAATTTCATGAACATTCATTTTACCCTAAATGTATGTCAGAAACACAAGTAGCTAATGACACACAGGGTGGGGCAAAAGGAGGTTTACAGTTGTTTGTATGGCAAATGATACAGTAATTAATAAATAATACAAGAATAAACTGTTTGGCATACTCACAATTGTGAACCTACTTTTGCCCCACCCTGTATTAATAACACAGTATGTATTTTCTATGGTTAAAATCAAAGGAATGTTATTATATTTCAGATGAACTACTATGTATTGGCTCAGCATGTCAGGCATGATAATTCTGATAACCTATACATTATCTTGAACGTGCTTTGGAAAGAAGATCATTATAACTGTATTGATGTTGTGTTTAGAAACTGTCTTTTAAATATATACAGTGAAATTAAAGAAAATAGGAAAAGGTGTTTCTTCTACTCATCAATTGGATAAATGAATTAAGCACCAAAATTTTGGGTGAAATTCCACAGATACCAGTGAATTCCAACTTACTGTTCACCTTTGCAGTAAGTATTATGTACTTTTAAGAGGAACATAGCTTATTTTTCCTTTTCAAGCAAACAGTGTGGATATGTGAAAGATAAACTACAAAACTTTTTAAAAACAAATGTATGCAAATATTGTTTATATTTTAGAAAGAAAAAAGGCAAAGCCCCATCAAGAAGTTTGGGCAAAAGACATTTCAAAAAATAACATAAACCAAAACAAACCCTTACTAAAAACTATTCCATGATAGAAAAAAAATGTGTACATTTCCAGTAAATGCAGAAAATTGATAAGTTAATTCAGTTTCTCCAGAGGTGAACAGTTGCAGAATACTGACGGCCACATATGTAATTTTCTGGGAGGTACAGTGAGTAGGCAGCAGAGTGGGCCAAAGTTTAGAGCAGTTCACCAGCTTGAATAAAATGACGAGTAAGGGCTATCGATATGAACTATAAATGGCCAAGTTGGGGATTTTTTTCAATATACCTAAATAGGCAGAATGACTGCAGTCCCAAAAAACCTGATATCCAAGAACTGATTCAGAATGAGTTATATTATTTGAAGCCCTGGTAGGAGAAAATCAAATGAACGAAGTTCAACTGAAGGTAATTAATTAGTATGAGGTAATGCTATTCTTATATATTCGTAAAAATCTAATCTTTATTTTGTTATTTTAAGAATATAATCCCAATTTTATTGGCTGCAGAATAAAGAACTAGAACAAAATCAAATTTTTGTCTCCCCCATGGACACAGCTTCAACTATTTACCTGGTGGCAACTACCCACACTGTACGTATGCCATCTGGAAAAAAATAAACTGCCTTAAAAGAGCGTATCAGCAAACCCAAATCCATAAAGAATGACAAATGTCACAAAACATCATGTTCTTTTTGGACACAGAGACAATTCTATTATCTTACTAGATATGAGAATCAAAGGTCCAGAGGAATGGAACTATTACGGAAGTTTACAAATCTATGCAATATAAGAAAAATGCTGATGTGCTACACAAAAGACAGTAGCCCACAGGAAAAGTGATTATATCCATTTGCTTATGATTTTTATTTTTAAGTTTTCTTAACTGTGACAACCCTCAAAATAATACATTATTCTCATTTTGTTAGCCCCAAAGTTTTCTGATGTGAAGCTAATGAAGGACAGAAGCAAATCAGTATATCATTTTAAATGTACTTATTTGGGACTGATTTCATAATATGTAATTTGTTCCTAATATAATTTTGCAATCAGAGAAATTTTATATTGGCCACACTAAAAAAATTATCCTAATGCCATATATACCTAAAGTCTTAAGTAAATGTTTTTAAGGCAATAAATATTATTAGAATCAGCTAAATCAAAATGGATTATCTAGAAGAAGTTTGTCCTGATTTATTACTACAATTATGGAATTACCAGGAACCAGTCTGGAAAGTCATGCTTTAAAATAAGTAATGTTAGCAATTTTTTAACTTACTCTGAAGAAAAAAAAAATGGACCATAAAACAGTTTGGACCTAATACAGTTTGCATACTGTATTACGTAATCCATACAAAATAAATTCAAATCTAATTAAAACTTCTTTCAGTATGTTTTTTTCCATAATGTAAATAAGCTTACAAAATGAACTGAAAGAGACTACAGACTTAGTCACAGCAAGGTTTTAAATAGGTTCCAAACAGGGAGGCAGTATGGTATAGTCCTTAAGGGGTTTAGAGTCATAGTTTCCTGGCTTCAAATTCTAGCAAGTCTTTAGACATATTTAAGCCTCAGCTTCCTTATCTGCACAATAGGTATAATAGTAGGGTTGTGGTAAAGATCGAATGAAATAGGGCATCTGTTATGAACTGCATGTTTGTATCCTCTCCAAATTCATGTTGAAACCCTAAGACCCTAATGTGATAGTATTTGAAGGTAGGGCTTTTGGGAGGTAATTAGGTTTAGAAAGTTGAAGTCCTTGTAATGGAATTAGTGCCTAGAGGAAGAGATGTGGGAGCTCTTTTTCTAGAAGAAACATAGTAGGAACACACACTGAGGAAAGGCCACGTGAGCACACATCAAGAAGGTACAGTGTCTATAAGCCAGGAGAGAGAAGTAAATTTCTGTTGTTTATGCTACCTAGTCTATGGTATTTTGCTATAGCAGCCTGAACTAAGACAGCATTTAAAGCACTTTGTACAGTGCCTGGAACAAAGCAAATCTTCAACAGAAGTAAGCTATTCCTCTTTTTTTTTATCATTATTTTTTAAAAATTTTATTTTGTTTGAATTTTATTTTAATTGTTGTTCAAGTACGATTCTCTGTCTTTTACCTCCATCTAGGCCCACGTCCCTAGCCCTCCCCACCTCCCTCCCATTTCCACCCCCCCTTGTTATTGTCCATGTGTCCTTTATACTTGTTCCTGCAAACCTTTCCCTTTTCCCTTGAAATTCCCTCCTCTTTCCCCTCTGGTCACTGTCAGCCTATTCTCAATCTCAGTTCCTCTAATGAAAAATAAGAATATGTAAAGTGCCATAATTTATTTAGGTAAATCACTTGAGAAGTTTTATTAACTTATGAGGATTTCCCAGTTGAAATTACAGATTTAAACACACAAAAATAATTAATTTCTAATATTAAGATCTTTTTCTATTTTATTCATAACAAAATAAAAATAAGTTTTGCAGGCCATCTATTTGACAATGTAACATTATTATGATAATGCAAGAAATCTGAAATACCTCTCTCGTAATTTTTTCAGCTCCACATCTCTTTCACCAATCAGTTCTGAGATACTAACAAAGTAATTATGTTCCAAATTTAGGAGTGTTTCAGAGGCAGGGGAATGGATTAGGTCATGGTACACGTCTGCAAAATCTTCATCCCAGCTTGGTTCTTCAGGCCTTGCATGCTCTAATGTGGTCTGCAAATGATACACAGACATTTTAAAATTATGATGTAGGATTTTTATTTAATATACTACCAGAAAAGTGTATTATGATTTTATTTTTGTACCTCAGACAAGGACAGAAGGACCTTCTATTTATTTGTGTATATACTGGTTATCTGGGATGATCTGAGTACACATAAAAAAATAAAAAGATGTAAACTAAGTTGTTAATATAGGTACCTGGAGGCAAGATGGGGAGGGGCTAATGTGGAGGGAAAGACAGAAAGTGCCATCGATGGGGCTAAGTGTGCTATAATCCACCTTCGGTAAAATAGCACATATATACACAAAGGGAAGATCAACAAAATGCTAATGATGGCTATTTCAGGACAGTGGGACTGCTGACGTCTTTTGCTTTCTTTATATTATAAGGGATTGTATAATAGAATAATTTGCATGTATTAATTACATAATTAGAAAAATCTTTTCATTATTAAGAAATATTTTGCTAAAAATGTTTTGTAGGTTATCCATTTAGAAAATGAGGTTACCTATGTGGTCCAAAGTGTGGTGATGCAATGACTTTGAAAACCCAATTCATACATAGAATTTTATATGAAGATGAATATATGTAATTTCCTTATTTTGATCCTTCCTAATACTCTGCTTTCTTCTTAAAATGTAAGCATGCTTGTAGGTACTTGAAAACAGCAGCTATCAAATGATAACGCAACTGAGTAAACACTTATAAACAACAAAAACAGAAACCCAGAGAGAGGCAAAACAGAATACCCTCAGCACAACACACAAATCCACCCCGGCAGGTACAGAGACCTGTCCCACAGACATGTCCTGTATCGGCACACCATACAGACACAGTGCTTTACAAGTGAGGAAACTGATATGCTGAGAAGCCCCTTGTCAAGGATCATACAATTTAATGGCAAAAGTAGAAATAACAAAAAGATTTCAATGTTTTCCATTATTTGATCTTTGTAGATACAAAATTATATAAAAAAGAAAAATCTGAATGCTTCCCTTTTCTTACCAAAGAAAAAATTAAACACCATAATCTATAATAGCAGTTCCTAAGCTTTTTGCCACCTGGGACCAGTTCACTCGCTTGCCTGCCACTCAGCCTCTACTGTGTGGCCTAGTTCCTAAAAGGTCATGGTCCTGGTACTCCTGATCTATAACCTTACTGCAGCAATAATTTACTTTAAAAAGAAAACAAATGGATAAATCACAGCAACAGGTATTTTGAACTTGGTCAATCAGTAGGTGAACTTCCCCCCTGGTTTTCTTTCAATCAATTTGGCAGATCAGGAGGGAAGGGTTTAAGATGATGTGCTCAATCTAGAACATGGATTTCATCTACTCTATGCCTCTGAAAACCTGAAACCACATTCTGATGGCTGCTCCATATCTTTAGACCTCGCACTGCTCTAGGAATTATAACCAGTCCATGTGACTTAAACTCGGTTCAAAATTTATGTCAGGTTCAGGCTAAAATTTTGTAGGAAGGAGCAAGATCGTAGGGATCTGCCTGGCGTACATAACACCAGACATGCAGTACCCCACTAGTCATATCAGCTAATTAATAATTTGCAGCATCAATTGAAAACTCAGCCTATAGCAAGCTTCAGAATAGGTAGAAACTGTCTACATGAGAAGTACCATTTAAATAGTTTCCCTTCATCTAACCCTTCCATTGCCTCAGGAGAGACGATATGAGAAAGGGGACTGTGAAAACCGAGAGGAATGGGACACTGAGTGAAGGCCTGCTGAGAGAAAAGTATTCAATGTCCAGGCTGTTATTTTTTTACCTCCACATTCTGTCATAAAGCTCAGCTTCTTTGAGGCTCAAATCATTAGGCATCACTTGTCTTTAGCAACTATGGTTACCTAACAACCTACCTGTCCCTCACCCTCATTCACATATTTCTCTGACCCACATCCTGTCACCAGCCTTGATCACTTGGATGTCTCATGGATAACCCATCCTATGCCTTGCCTTCTTTCTCCTCTGAACTCTTTAATAAGTCTTCCACTCCACCTCAGTCACCCATTCTATACCATTGTTAAGAACAATTCAACCTCGAAAATTCAAACATTCAGTCTCTGAGTATAACCTCCAACCGAGACTTCATTCAATTACTCCCAGGCTATTGTTTCTTCAACCTCATCAGGACCCCTGCTCCATAGGCCATTCTACTTTCTCCCTCTCTCTTTTTTTTTAATCAGCCATTAGCTCCCGCCTAACTTCACTTTCTTCCCTTTGTAGTTTACACTGCAGGGTCCAGCATTCAACCACTGTCTTGTCAAAATCTTCAACTCCCCCAATTGATACTGTTTCTCTTGGTCACCTAATAAAACTCTAAATCTTACAGCCAGGCTGTAGAGAGCTGCAGCAGAAAAATTACGAAAACCCCAAAGTTTATGGTGGCAGACAGGTGTTAACTCTAACCCTTCCCTTCACTGATGACTGGCAATCTATCTTCCTCTGGTTAGTTCTCTTCTCAAACATCCAGCTATCTCATTAGTCCCCCACCTCATCTGAAAACATTACCTGTCTTTATTAGTTCTCCATAAAGTAGAAGCAGTTAGAAGAAAATATCCTCAACTTCCGCTATCAAAGTAGTAACATTTTCTTAACTTATATCCACCCTTTCTGCTATAGTGAAAGAAGTGTCCCTCCTCCCAGTAAAGACTAATTCGCTACTTGAGTTCTGAATTCTATCCCTTCTAGTCTTCATCTCTACCATCCTAAAAAAACAAACCTCTGACTTTGTGTTCCCATTTTGAAAGTGCCTCATTCTTCTTCTCTATATAGCCCTTGAGTTATCTATACTCATTCTATTTCCACTCCCACACATTCTTAAAGTCATTGAAATCTAATTACTGTCCCCACCAATCCACTGAAACTGATCTTTCCATAGATAAGATAACTTGGTAGACCCCATAGATAATGTCATTGAGTCTTTTCCTTGCTTGGACTTCTCTGCAGCATTTGAAACTGTTGACTATTCTATTCCCTCCTTCTTGGTGCCTTTTTCTTAACTTTCATTAAACTATAGTCTTTTATGTTCTCTCTACATCTTTGGCCAGTTTCTCTCTTTCCTTTGCAGGTCCTTCTTCCTCTGTTTATCCCTTAAGTGCCAGTGTCTGTTCATTTGTTTGTATATTCATTCATCCTTTTTTATTTTGGCGGGGTGGGGGGGGGCAGCTATCCATCTATCCTATCTATCCAGCACACACTAAAGCCCTATTATTTGCAGGCTCTGTACTAGATACCAGAGCTATAACAGACAATAAAGTAGACAATTCCAGGTAGACATCCACAAGTAAAGGATACAAGTAAGTCAATACAATTATAATACAGGGTTTTCTCAGGGTTCTTTCCAGGCATCTAATCTTCTCATTTTACATAAACACCCTGCACAATTTCGTCCATTCTATGACTTCACAATTCATCCGTGTATGAATGACTTCCACACCCATGTCTCCAGTCCAATTATCTTTCCTGAATGCCAGATCTATATACTTAAGACCTTATGAGACAGCTTTACTTAGGTGTCTTATAGGCATTTCACATTCAATAGGTGTAAAACTGAATCCATCACTTTTATGCCAAAACCTGCCTCTCCTCAAATGAGCAGAGACCCCATTTAGCCATCTACCCAGTAGTCCAAAACAGAAATCTGGGCCAAATGATCTTTTATCATTTACATTTCAGCTTAAATGTTACATCCTTAGAGAAGAGTTCACTAAACCCCTATCAATTAGCCTCTCACTTCCCAGTTCTCTCTGTTGGCAGCATATTTATTTCTCTATAACATGTTTACAATTATATATTAGTCATGTTCTTGTGTAATATCAGTAGGTAAGAATAAGAACCAAGTTTGTTGATGGTACACCCCTAATGCATAGCACAGGACCCACATACAGTATTTGTTGAATGAGTAAATATATGAATAAAAAACATTTATTGTCTTTTTTATCCCCACTACTACTATCTAGACTAAGATTTCATCATTTCTTCCCTAAAACTGTAAGTCTTCTAACTTACTTCAAATTTCTCCCTTCCAAGATATTCTTCACACTAATACACTAAACTGATTCTTCCAAAATGTAAACATGATCTTCTCACTCCTCTGCTAAACTCCTTCAAAGCTGCTCATTACCGTCAGCATAAAGACAAAATTTAAGATGGCTTGCAAGACTCTTTTCTAGCCATTCTGAACTTTTTTCGCTTTTTCTAATGTGCCACAGGCTCTCTTACCTCCAGGCCTTATATATGTTACACCCTCTGTCTAGGATATTCTCTCTCCACTCCCCCATCATACACCTTTCACCCACGTATTTACAACCATTTTTCAGATCTTAACTAAATTTCTCTGTCCTCTAGGAAGCTTTCCCAAAGTTCTGTAGACTAGCATATGTGTACCAGCTTTGTGCTGTCACAGCGCCCTGTAGTCCCCCTCTCACACCACTCACCACACTGCACTGAAGTGAATTTGACTCATGTCTCCCTGTTAGACCGTATACTCTGTGAGGGCAAGGACTGTGTCTATTTGGTTTTTGTTATACCCCAAGTGCCTAATACAATAATTGATATGTAACTGATGCTCAATACCCATTTGCTGAATCAATGAATACAAAGAGAAATAAGGACTGAAATGGAAGACAAGGCACCACCAAAAACAAACAGCAAACTTCAGAATTTTGACAATGATTCCTCTGTGTGCCTTTCCTTATCTATCAGAGTTTATTTCTCATTGTTTTAAAAAGGAAGAAATCTAATGTAATAACAAATGATACAGGAGTGACTAGAACAAACAGTATAATTGGATTTTTAGGGACTAAAAGCAGAAAAAGGCAAGTAATAGATCCTCTGACAGTAGAAACGAGAAGGAAATGCAGAAGAAAATAGCATTACTCTATAGGGTAGGAATTAACAGTCACATACACTCTAGTAAACCATCAAAACTTCCTCATACCGCCCTGGCTGGTATGGCTGAGTGGAATGAGTGCCAGCCTGTGAACCAAGGGGTCACCAGTTCCATTCCTAGTCTGGGCCATGTGCCTGGGTTGTGGGCCAGGTCCCCAGTTGGGGATGTGTGAGAGGCAACCACACATTGATGTTTCTCTCCATCTCTTTCTCCCTCCCTTACCCTCTCTAAATAAATAAATAAATAAAATCTTTATTAAAAAAACAAAAAAACTTCCTTATACCAGAAAGCATATCCATTAAAGTCCAGCTCTATGTATGAGGGTCACTGGTCCTCTTTAATGAAAAATCCTTATATAACAGCAGCATATTCAGTATGTCTCTGCAGTGATGGGACAGACAGGCCTCCCTCTGTAGCAGTGCCTCGCTGTATCATTGTATAAAGGTATAATCACTTACATTTATAATGATGACCTGGGGTCAAAAGGAAGTTAGAACTGAATTTGATATACCATGCTTAAGAAAACAAGGAAAAGTGTACTACATTTTCAAAAGATCTTCATGAAAAAGTGGTTAAAATAAAAGTTTCATGATTTAAGTATGTTACATCTGAAATACCTAGTAAATCCACTTATACAAAATGGAGCTCATTCTCTCATAATCCTAGGCAACTTATATTACTATAAACATTCTGTTATTGTACCTCTTTATCAGTGGTCCTTGTTCATCTCCAGGTCACTGAAATACGTTTACCTGTATGTTGCAGAGAAGCTTTAGCACTCTTCTGTCTCATTGACTGCTCCGTTCTGCTTCCACCATCAGAGTCAGCTGCTGGTTATACGATTTTTCTAATCTCCACAATTCTGCAGCTTCTAATCTCTTGCAGGCCCTTTTGTAATCTGCTACAGAGTTCCCTTTTCTTTTTTAATTCCTCCCTTTTGGTCACTAATTCTCATATTTCTTAAGTTTGTATTGAGCTGCTTGGTCTTTATATTGTAATTTTCACAGCCAGTGAGAACTCAAGCATATCCAGTGGGTATAGCAATACTTGGTTCTTGTCCTTTACTTTCCTGTCAGTATTTCCTTTTTTACTGTTAAAAATCACTTCTTTGCCTTTCTTTCTCCTTAATTCCTTAAAGATGAACAAGCTACTATAGTTCTAACCCTGGCACTGCTAGAAATCTGAACTCTACAAAAAATGCTATGTACTTACTAAATGTGTAGAGTGTAGAATAGAGTACTTGCTCAATTGATACTGATGATTTTTAATTCATGATAAATCTCTACTCTTGTGATTAAATTAATAAGTATAAACTGTTATTATTTTGTTAGACTGATGTTACTATTATTGTTACTATTGTGAGGGTCATTAATTTGAAAGATAGTCAATTCCTATTTTTAGAATGGCTAAAGCACAAAAGTAAAACCATAACTTTAGTATATATGGTAATCATTTTTTATCATTAAAAAAACAAGGAAGCATTTATTGACCTAGTATTGAGGAAGTTCTCTTGTTGGTTACATAAAATCAGGGATGGGAGAGGTTCTGCTTCCAGATTTTATATTAGAACAAGCAATCCTAGAGGAGAAACTGCTTTCTTCAAGAATTCTTTCTTGACCACTCCTTCTTCCCCCAACTTCTCTAAATGATCACACAGTATTTTACCCTAATCCTAACAGTGTTGCAACAGTCTGTGGATTTCTTTGTCTTCCTACTAGACTGTATACTTCCAGAGGGCAAAGATTTAGCCTCAGCAATATACCCCATCCACTTTAGAGGTAGAAAAATATTGGTTGAATAAATTCAGTGAAATTATTCTTTTAATACATCTTATAGCTTTCTTTCTTTTTATCAGTAGAAAGATTAAATTGTTTCTTTAAATTGTAGGTTTCTTTAAATTGTAATTATCACAGACATATCTTTTTAAAATAAAATAATTATATTTTTAGAATTTAAAACAATATGTATAAGTAGTGTTATCTTTTATATAAACTAGGAAACCTCTCTGGCAAAGACCAAACTGCTTAGAATGATAAATGTGATCCTATAAAATTGATTTCTTTTTTATTCTTATAGACTGAATTGCTTAAAGTGGAATGTAATTCACTCATTATAGCTCGCAAATATTAAATGTATTTGTTTGTTCACATAGTGCTATATCTCCCTCTTTAACTAAAATATAAACTTCTTTTGTGTTTGTCTTGCTCACTATTTTATACCCAAAACGTAATATAGTACATGGCATATAATAGGTTCTTCAAGTAGCATATTTCATCAATTCTAAGATACATATTTTTTCATATTACAACTCTCCAAAAATCAGAATATATCTTATATTTGATAGCATCATGGCATTCTATCATAGTTTAAAGGTGGAGGTGTTCTTAGTAGTAAATAAAATAATGGTGTGCTATGATCAATAGCATCTTAAACTTTATGAAATAAGGTATAATATTTTAATAGAAAAATGGTGACATTAAATAACTGTCTAACAACAGTAAAGGTAAGTGGGAGGACAAAGTAAACCAGATTAAAATAAGCTACTACTGCTAGTGTAGGGTTGCTAGATAAAACACAGGTCACCAAGTTAAATTAGAATTTCAGATAAAGAATGAATAAATTTTTATTATAAATATGTTCCATAGAATATGTGGAAGATGCTTTTACTAAAAAATTATTTGTTGTTTAATTGCAATTCTAATTTAACTGGTGTCCTGTTAAATCTGGCAACCCTATGCTGGTTAGAGGTACAAAAGTAGCCTCTTGTTTTATAAAAGCATTACGTAAAGTGCTGAGTCTTAGGTACTTACCCTGATATGGAAAAGAAGTATTCAAGCATCAATATGTATTGTATGTTATGGAATAAATTTTTGCAATTAGAGAAAAAAGGATTCTTCAACTGTTTCAGTATTATCTTAGCAATTTAAAAATCCTCATCAAAGTTCAAAATATTCTTGAAATTTACAATCTGATCAATATTCTTACCTCAGCATAAGCTTTGGCCCAAGTACTTGCCAGTTGATGTAAATCTACTTCACCTGACTTCACAGCTTCCAGAGATGCTTCAGCCTCTCTATCATAATCTCGGAGAGATTCTTCTTCTATAAACTGGCTCAGAGCTTCTTTTAAGTCTGTAACAGGGTCAAGAAATGCCATCATCAGCAAAATCCAGACATAAACAGGGAATATTTTACCTGATTAAGCATTCCAATGTGAAATTTTATTACATCAAGCTTATCCCCTTAATAAAATGTCTAAATAAAAAAAGCTTAGGGGATCATTACCTAACAACATTTTTCTTTACTGCTACAGGTTACTGCTTGAAGAATAGTCAAAATTCTATTTTGCATAAAATAGAATTTTATGCAAAACTTTGATATAATCTGTTAATTTCTTACGCCTAATGCTTCAGTTTGAAACTCATGCATAACTCTCATGCATAACTTTGATATAATCTGTTAATTTCTTACGCCTCATGCATAACTCTCCTGCATAACTTTGATATAATCTGTTAATTTCTTACGCCTAATGCTTCAGTTTGAAACTGAGTAGGTAAAGTCACACATAGAAAGAACCCTTGTACAGATTTTGAGGGTTTGAAGGTTACTGTATTAAATGAAATAGTTTCCTATACATATACTGCTATGCAGTTTGATTTTGAAGAGATCATAATTGAATTAGTATACTAAAACTGATTTAATTCAGATTCTCTATATTCTCTATTCTCTATAGTTCCACCTGTAGAGACAATACTTAGAGACTAATATAATGGAGAAAGCACTGAGATAGAAGTCAGGGTACTTGGTTCCTGTGTTGGCTCTGTCTACAATGTTACATTAGACCACTGCTTCTCAGTCTTGAGCATGCATCAGAATTCCCCAGAGTTTCTGATTCAGCAAGAACAGCGTGGGGCTCAAGAACGTGCAATTCTAAAAAGTTTCCAGCTGATGCTATTGCTTCTGATCAGGGAACAAATAATGAGAACCAATGCCATAGGCAAATAATTTAACCTCTTTATGTACAGATTTCCTTATTTGTACAATGACATTGTGCTGGAAAGTTTCTAGGTTTCCTTGAACTCTAACTATCTCCAACCCAACACATTCTCAATTTAAAATTTTTTTTTCTCATTTGTGAGGTGGAATATAGACTTTTAGAAATGGTTTAATACAGATGAGATTATGGAAGTAATTTAGGTAAGCAAAAATTATTCAAAGATTTATAATCTTTCTCTTCCATGCCATCTCAGGAATTGAGAACAAGATCATTAAAGGGGCAATGCACTTAGCAATATAATTCTATAATATAATAAGTGATAGCTGAAATGCCATATGAATCCACCCAACTAAATTAAGAGGTTAAAAGTTTTACTTCAGACTTTGTAACTAATTTTTCATTATATAACTTAATTTTTATACTAACTTGCCTTATAAACAACTACAACGATTATAGAAAAAGCACTAAATAAAACAAAAGTCTGGAGAACATTTTTGTTCCTGAAAGAAATTAAACACTTCACATTTATGGCTCTTTCCAACGTTTCTTAGGTTTATGCTTTCTAACATGAAACTTTTAATGACAGAGACTCCAGGAAAATAATAAAGCAGTATTAAAAAACATCAGTTCTCACCTTTTTCTATGAAGCATGGTAAACTGTGCAACAGCATCAGACGTCCATGTAAATCACTGGCATTCTCTTGAACGGGAAATTTGAGGGGCACCCTCAGTTCTAAGCACTGACTTCCTATTTTGAATTTATACACAAATTCCCTTTCTCTGTTGCAGAATCTTTCTCTGTTTTTCTTCATCTTCTTTTGCAGGATCACTACAGAACTAACAAAAAATTAAGCAGCAGGGTGTAAGTCCATCAAAAACATGATGTACCTAAGACAATGTTCTGCCATTCAGAGATTTTATTTGAGTGACTCTGAGCCAGTTATTCTAGGTTTCCTACTTTTATCCCTGCATTTTCATCTTCATGAGGAAAATGAAGTGCTTCTTTTTAAAATGAAAAGTTTAAGGGTTATTTAAGAAAAAATGTGCCCATAGAGTACTTTGCATTCCTAGGTAGGGGTCTCAAGAACAGGAAAAGAACATGGAGAAAATAGCAGAGAGGATTCTTAGGAAGAGATACATGGGTGGGAAGATAATAGAATTTGTGAAACAGATGGTGACTATAAAGTCAAAGTAACAGATCAGGGACCAAGAAGTGATCTTGGCGATCTCATGTTGTATGAGATCAGACTGGGGGTAGAGAGAAGGGAGATGGGCATTCGAAAGATTTCCATATGGGAAAAAGACACGCAGAAAATAGAAAGTACAAAATATCCCACAAGACATGCTGTTCAGACAAAATATCCCAGAAGGATGCTGTTCAGAAAGAAGAAAATCTAGTCAAGAAAATTAAGAATCAACATCAAGTAAAGGTTTATTTATCAGCCACCTTCCCAGATTCAATGTCTAGGCTTTTTCCTCATCAAAGCAGTTCTTACACTATTCTGAGTTAGAATAGGATAGGACAGTGGACCCATAGTAATCTTTCCAAAGTAGATACCTGATCATATTATTTATCTGCCCAAACACTTTTATAACATTCCATTGGTCTCAGGATAAAATTCAAACTCTTTAACCCAATTTACAATGCCTCTGCTTAAATCTCCAGGTTTTTTCTTTTTCAGCACCTGCACCTCTCCTCCCCAAGGCACAAATTCGCAAACTTTATTTTCCAGCCGTACTGAACCCCTTTCAATGCCAAAACAACCTCTTTTCCCACTCCCAACCTTTCTGAATGCTCTTCCTTTGCCTAAAACACTTATTGCTCTTTTTCCTCGGCTGAATATTTTTTGTAAATAATAACCATTAGCTTTCGTGTCACTAGGTTCAACACTTAGACGTATGTTTCAACAAATTAATTCTTTAGTTCTCTCTTCCCACATTTTCTTTCTTTAAAGCAGGGTGAAGTCAAAGAAGGATTCCCATGCAAAAATGGGATGGGAGGACGAGAGCAGGACCGAACTTACACTGCCGAGAAGAGATGATGAGGGCAGACTGCGGGGCTGCGAAGCTCCAGCCGAGGAGGGGGCAGTCGCTCTATTACTGGGTTGCATTCTGAAGGGGCATCCTCGCTCTCGGTTCTGGACTCACCTCTCCAAGTTCCGAAGTCCGAGGGATCTGCACACTCAGAGCTGTCAAGAAGCCACGGCACAGGAACATCAGCTGACTTACCCGCAGGTTTTTACACCCAGCAAATCCGGTGCGGCCGATTCGCCCACACCTTTTCTTTTCCCGGCACCACGTAAAAAGTTCTTCGGTCTAAGTGCCTCCTTGTTCCATCCTGTCTCAATTTAACCATTTAAAGTGTAAGAAGGTGTATTTCTACCGTTGTTGTATATTTCAGAGTACGCACAAAAGCCACCCTTGTGACGAAAGTGCAGCGGCTAAGTACAAACTCGACTCTGGTAGAACGGAAGAGGAAGGGCAATGAATTGGAGGGGTGTGAACAAATGAGGTCCACTGAGGACGCATGCGCGTTCGTAAGGATGGCTGGTAATCATTGGAGGACTGTTGTCAGGGGGCGGAGAACTCCGGTGTTTGGTTTGGGCGGGAATTGAAACCGCCTGTGCTGCGTGCAAGAACTTTATAGTTCCATATATCCATCCTTGAAGGTAACCATGGTTCGGCCAGTGAGGTGAGTAGTTCTGAACACACGGCGAGGATGGGGAGAAAGAGCAGGAAGACGCTGTAGGCATCGTCACCTACACACGACTAAGGGGAAAGGGCCGAGTAGAACCGAGGGTAGCGATTGTGGGGTGGACGGTTACAGGGAAACTCTCCAGCGTCCGCTGAGGGCCACCCACTGAGCTCTTTTTCCATCTCCTTGCCTCCCTTCGCAGCAGCTGTTTCTTGTACCCACCCCTGTCAACTAAGACCTTGTTATGGTAATATTCCAACATCCCTTTACATTTCACCGAGTTCCTACTTATGTGCTATTTCATTTGTTCATCACTATAGTTCTTTGATATGGCAGTTTAGGCATCCCTGTCCTATCGAGTTAAACTTCTAGGCATAAAGACTGGTTTACCTGGGTCGCAAAGCTAGTGAGTGGCAAGATAATACTCAAACCTAAGTCAACCTGGCTCCAGATTCTCTGTGCTTTCCATTATACTATTTGAAACTATTCCTCTACTTAACCACGGTTGAGGCCTACGGTCCACCATTCATTTAGTAAAGTTATGAAATATATTTACTTTTATACATTAGGTCCAGAAGGTTACATTCTGACCAAGAGGTGAGTTTGGAGGGCCAAAAATAAACACTGCAATGTGAGAGAGAAAGTGAGGAGGAAAGCTCTAGTTAAATAGGATATTTAGGATGTGTCTCTTTGAGCAGATAACCCCTGAGCTGAGGCATGAATAACAAGAAGACAGCCAATGAAAATCTGGGGCAATCCAGGTAGTGGGAACAAGAGGTAAAGCCCTGAGCCTGACCATATTTGAAGGACAGCAAGAAGGCCACGAAAGCTGTAGCATTAGCTAGCAGTGGGGAGCATTGTAGGGGATTAGGTCAGAGGAATCGATAGGGCCTTGCAGGATTTAGAAAGAGTTTGGATTTTAATCTAAGTGCAATAGGAAGTCGATAGAGAGTTTTAAGTAGAGGAGAGAAATCTAACTTTGGTTTTATAAAGATGACTGGCTACTGGTGGAGAATGAATGGGACACTGGGTAACCAGAAGGGGAGCAGAAAAATCAGGAAGCTATTGGATACTATTTGGGTTGGGGTGTTATTGTGGACATGGAATGGGACAGATGAATTTGGGATATTGCATTTGTAGTTACTGCTCACAGAATTTGCTGATGAAGTGAATGTGAAGGAAAGAGGGGAAAAGAATCACAGATGACTTGATCTTTGCACTGACTGAGTTGGGGAAGATCATGAAAAGGAATAGGTTCAGGAGGTGGGGGATTGAGAGTTCTGTTTTGAATGTGCTAAGTTTGAATGTAAAAGTGGTGAAGACATAATCCCTTTGCCTGGAATACCAGTTGTCATCATATGATTTGCAGGCTCTGTCAGGTCCCCAAGACCTTCTCAGGAGGTCCATGAGGTCAAAACTATTTTCATAGTACTGTCATTACTTGCTGTTTTTCATTTTCTGTTGTTTTCATTGCAATAGTGATCCAATGGCTGGTACCTTCATACAAGTCAAGGCAGTGGCACCAAACTGTAGGAGTAGTCATTGTATTCTTACTGCTACACACTCAGAAAAATTAAAAGAAAAAAAAATGCCAGTTTCACTAAAGAATGTGTTTGATGAAGCAGTAAGAATTATATTGTCATAGTTTAACCATCGAGCATACTTTTTTAAGTGTTGATTTTATGTTATTATTTAATCTCAGGACTTCCAAAGGGGTTTTTATATTCAGCTCTCAAATTCCTTAATTCCAAAGAGTAGGACAGTAACAAGAATATGCTTCATTTGAATGTTCTGTATGAGGAAATGAGAAGTATGCACAGAGCACTTCCAGTTGTCTTAAGGAAGCACACTTGTAAGTTGTGAGCTGAACTACCCTTTTTTTCATAGGAAACCATTTTTTTCTTGAAAGAACAACTAACATGTTAGATTATTCACACTTGGGAATTTGGCAGAAGACAGAAATGAAAACTAGAATACCATTTCATTTAGTGCCTAGAGGAAGGAGGAAGGAAATTATTTTTTTTCACCTTTGCATAAATGAAGAATTTCTGTCTTGGTCATAGGAATAAGAAACCAGTCAATTACTCACAGTTTGAGGACTCTGATGATGATGGTATGTAGAGATTCTTATTTTGTTTTAAAAGTTTGGAAATCATTTCCTCAGAAATTGTGTGTGTGTGTGTGTGTGTGTGTGTGTGTGTAATGTTGAACATATTACCCAATTGCATATGACATAGCTCTAGAAAAATAATTTTCTAAGCACTTAGGATAATTATGCTGATAATTACACTGACAAGAATTATGTAGATGAAATTGGAGGGCCAGGTAAAGTAGGTCTATAGGTCCCTATACCTCAAAGTGCAGTTTGACTCCTTACTTTGAAATAGAGACTGCTTTTTTTTTTTCTTTGAGACACAAATGTGTTACAGAATATAATGTGAAATCTCCATTAATTGTACAATAAAACAATACCTTAAAGAAAGTTAGGCTTCAGTTATACCCTGTTCAGTTATACATTTACTTGTCTCTGCTATAAAGGGAACTTCGGTCAAAAAATTTGAGAAATATGGGGTTAGGTTATGTTATCTTTGAAAAAGGTTTTGTATTTCTCAGACACTAGAACTTTTTTGAGTCAAATACTTACTAACTCTGAGGTTTGAAGGAATGCTGTTTTGTCTCGGGCACAGCCTTAAATGGCTGTTAAGACTTAGGAGAAAATAATATGGAATATAATTTGTAGCTTTTTATCACTTCATCAGTCTCATACCAAATATTTATAAATTATCAGTTGTATTCTAGACATCATGGGGTAGAGGTGCAGACAAGTCACAAGTTATTATATTCCTATATAAGGAAGCATAATACATACAACACGTATTAGTAAATGCTAATGTAGGTGATTAAAAGTACAGGTAACCTAAAAGTATTCATACATGTATCATGTGTGAGTTTAAAAGCTACAGCAGTGGTTTTTTGTTGAGTGTCAACAGAAATATATCAGCTTTTGGGTGAATTGGTTTTGGATAGATTGATATTTAAATAAGTAAAAATCATTAAAACAAAATTAAATGAATGAGAATAAAAACAATATATCAACAATATTTTTTAAATTGTGAAAAATAATTTGCTTAACCTTATAACTTGAACTCACACTGTAATGAATTTTTAATTGCTAAGAAAATAATTTTATTTATTTCTTACTTAGAAAAAGCAATTTTATATATTCTTTTATTTTTAATTCGCACATGAATAGATGATTTTGTTTCTGCAACTGGACCTTTAAATAAGAAATCCAGAACAACACCAAAGGAGTTAAAACTAGAGAGGCCAAAACCTAAATTAAAGAATCTCCAGAAAGAAGACATCCCATTACAAGAGAAAACTCCTAAAAAAAGGTGAGAGGTAAGACATACAGTAAATATATCATATGTGTTCATTTAAAAGACAAACAATTCTGGCTGGATGGCCCAGTTGGTTGGAGTGTCATCCCTTACACCAAAAAGGTTGTGGGTTTGATCCCTTGGTCAGGGTACGGATGGGAGGCAACCAATGGATGTTTCTCCCTCTCTCCTTTCTCTCCCCCTTTCTCCCTTCTTCCTTTCCTTTCCCTTCTCTCTCCCTCCTTCTCTAAAAAAATTAATAAACATCCTTGGGTGAGGATTTAAAATAAACAAACAAATAAATAAATAAAGAGAAACAGATTCAAACTTTTGGTTTACATGTGTGCTCAAGTAGAGTCATAGGTATATGGTACAACCTATCTGGTACAACCTTATAGGAGAACAGGGTTGTACCGTTTATCCCCTTCTGGCTTAAAAAAGAAATTCACAAATATGTAAGGAAATATCCATTTAAATATTAAGGTAATTATACTTATAAAGTTTTGAAATTATAGCTTACTTTTTTATAGGACCCTGTTCCTGTCTCTCTGAAGTCCTCAAATCTTATAAGGCTACTACTTTATTAAAAATTACATTTGTAAGGAAAGTTTAATAAAGTTTAAAAACGTATTTTCTACAAATAAGATATTTTCTCTTTATATTGTTAAGACTTGTCAGCAGTGAGAAAATCCTGCAGTTTCTAGACTAATCCTGGAATTCCATCAGTTAGCACCAAGAGGGAAGATAGGGTGAGGGAAGTCCTGAGAGGCACAAAACTTGCAATGGAGGGGAGATGGACAGAAGAGTATTAACAAGTGGAACATGGGGCTTGTGATGGTTTAATGCTACAAGTATGAGAAAGGTTAATTAACAATGAGACTCTGCCCTGGCTGGTGTGGCTCAGTGGACTGAATGCTGGCGGTGGATCAAAAGTTTGAAAGTTAGAATCCTGGTCAGGGCACTAGCCTGGGTTGCGGGCCAGGTCTCCAGTTGGCAACCAATCAGTGTATCTCCTACACATTGATGTTTCTCTTCCTTTCTTTATCCCTCCCACCTCTCTAAAAATAAATAAATAAAATATTTTTTTTAAAGAGACACTTAGCTCATGTCATTCTCTTTATTTTTCTTCCTCTTAATTTTTGTTTGTGTTTTTGAGCTTCTTGGACTACATTTTAAATATAGTGGAAAAGAAAAGCCAATCCACAAATGGGAGAAAACATTTGCATATCATATAATCATTGAAGGACTTGTATTTAGAATATTTAAAGAATTCTTACAGCTCAACAATGAAAAGAGCAATAACCCAATTTAAAAATAGGGCAAAAGATTTGAGCAGATATTTCTCTAAAAAAAGATATGCAAATAGCTAATAAGTACATGAAAAGATGCTCAACATCCTTAGCTGTCAGGGAAATGCAAATCAAAAACCACAGTGAGATAATATGTCATACCCACTAGGATGGCCATAATTAAAAAAGGTAGATAATAACAAGTGTTAAGAAAGATGTGGAGAAATTAGAACCTTCGTACATTGTTGCTAGGAATGTAAAGTGGTGCACCTACATAAGAATACAAAGTAGTAGTTCTTCAAAATGTTAAACCAAGTTGTATGATCCAGCCTAGACATATGAAGGGGGAACCCCCCAAAAACCTGGAATTATCTTTTGGAGTGCAGGCCCCTGTAGTATAGGCTTTCCTCGCTAGGTGAGTGTTCTGGAAACCCATCAGTATCAGTGTACCAGCTGGCATTGTTGTGAGAGGCTGAGTGTGACTTCAGTGACCTTTTTTTTGAAGATTCAGTGTTTGTCCATTTTATGATGGGTGATTTATGAGTGCACCTGCTCACACTGTGCTGAGGGTTCAGCAGTTTTTGACCAAAAACAACATGACCCGCCTGTGTCCCACCCTTCCTATTTACCTGATCTTGTCCCAAGCAACTTCATTTTGTTGATGTGGAAGAGGTGAAACAAAAAAATGGCAGAAACAGTAAAAGGCACCAAAATAGACAAGTTCAAAAACTGTTTTGAGCAGTGAAAAAAAATCTCTATAGGTGTATTACATCAAGTTGAGAATATTTTGAAGGTGACGGAAGTTTAACATGTAAGAATAAATAATTTCTTATAAATAAGTTCCAGGTTTGGGGGGGACCCACTCTTGTATACCCAAGAGAAATGAAAACCCATGTCCACACAAAAAATCTGTACATGAATGTAGCATCATTATTCAGAAGAGCCAAAAAATGGAAGCAATCCAAATGTCTATCAACTGATGAAAAGATAACATGGTATATATCCATGCAGTGGAAGACTATTTAGTGAAATAGTGAAGTAAAAGAAGTGAAGTACTGATGTATACTCTACAGCATGGATGAACCTTGAAAACATGCTGATGGAAAGCTAGGTACAAAAGGCCACATGTTTTGTGATCCCGTTAATACAAAGTGTCCACAATAGTCTAAGTCCATAGGAACAGAAAGAAGATTAGTGGTTGCCAGAGGCTGGGTAGTAAGTAGTAAATGGGGAGTGAATGCTAATGGATACAGGATTTCTTTTGGGGGGTGATTATACAGATTTCAGGTGTATAATTCTGTAACATCATCCACAGTGTTCACAACTCCAAGTCAAGTCTTCATCTGTCACCATTTACCCTCCCCCATACCCTCCTTCATCATTGCCCCCTTCCTGCACCTCACCTCAGCAGTCACCATACTGCTGTTCTTGTCCATGAGTTTTTTTCTCTTTCTCGCTCAATCCCTCTTCCCTCCCCCACACACAGTCCACCCAACCTTGGCAGCTGTCAGCCTGCTCTCTATGAGACTGTCTCTATTTTTCTTGTTAGTTCAGTTTGTTCATTAAATTCCACATATGAGTGAGATAATTTGGTATTTGTCTTTCTCTGACTGGCTTATTTCACTTAGCATGATGCTCTCCAGTTTCATCCATGCTGTCGCAAAGGGTAAGATTTCCTTCTTCCTTACTGCCAAGTAGTATTTCATTGTGTATGTGTAGCACAGCTTTTTTATCCACTCATCTACTAATGGACACTTGGCTGCTTCCAAATCTTGATTATTATAAATAACATTGCAATGAACATAGAGGCGCGTGTGTTCTTACAAAATAGTGTTGTGGGTTTCCTCAGATAAATTCCTAGAAGTGGTATCTTGAGTCATAAGGCAGTTCCATTTTCAATTTTTGGAGATAACTCCATACTACTTTATACTGGCTGTACAAGTCTGCATTCCCACCACAATGCACAAATGTTCCCCTTTTCTCCACATCTTCACCACTTGTTGTTTGTTGATTTATTGATGATAGCCATTCTGACAGGTATGAGATGATCTCATTGTGGTTTTAATTTCCATTTCTCTGATGATTAGTGACATTGAACATCTTTTCATATGTCTATTGGCCATCTGTATGTCTTCTTTGGAGAAGTGTCTGTTCAGGTCTTTTTGCCTACTTTTAGTTGGATTGTTTGTTTTTTGAGTCATATAAATTCTTTATAAATTTTGGATGTTAACTTCTTTTCAGATGTATTATTGGTGAATATATTCTCCCATTCAGTGGATTGTCTTTTCATTTTCTTGATTTCCTTTGCTGTGCAAAAACATTTTAGATTGATATGGTCCCATTTCTTTATTTTTTCTTTTGTTTCCCTTGCCCAAGGAGATATAGCGGGAGAAAATGTACCACTACAAGAAATGTCTGAGACTTTACTGCCTATATTTTACGATAAGATTTTTATGGTTTGAAGTCTAGCATTTTCTTCTTTAATACATTTTGAGTTCATTCTTGTGTTTGCTGTAAGAAGGTGGTGTAGTGTTATTTTTTGCATGTCTCTGACCTGTGCTCTGAACACCATTTATCGAATAGACTATCTTTACTTCATTTTATGTTTTTGCTCTCTGTCAAATATTAATTGACCATAAAATCATGAGTTTATTTCTACACTCTCTACTCTGTTCCATTGATCTATATGTCTGTTTTTATGACAGTAAAAATAAAAAAATAAATCATTCAAGGTACATCTCAGTATTTCCTCCTTTTTGCAACCTTTCCTTATCTGGTTTTGATTTCCTCTTACACACCATAGCACTTTTCACCGCCTTGAGTAGGAGACATAATAATTTCCTTATGTGGGATAATTGTTAGTATGTCGTACCCTCCTCATTAATTGAAGACTCCTTGATGATATTTTTATGTCCTATCTAGTGCAGCACCCCATATACAGTAAGTACTTGGAAAAATATTTGTTAAAGTCTAGATTGGGAGGGACAAATGTAAAAAATTTTTTAATTAAATATAAGACCTATGATAGCTGCCTGAGGAGGTGTGGGTGAAATCAAGCAAGACTCTAAGTGGAGGTGATCTTTGAGCCAGGTCTTTATTCTAGGTTGAGCAGGTGCTTCCCACCTGGGTGGAACTGACAGTAAGGACAAACATTGCAGTGAACAGAAATAGTAAGTGCAGCAGCCCATGCTGCTCCTGTTTCAAATCTCTTACACAAGATATAACACGACACTGTGACATTTTAGATGTCATACTTAAAGGTCAATTATGATTATGATTATTGTTTAAAAAACATTTTTGTGAGATTAGCAGCTCTTAAATAGTAATTCAGGAAATTCTCAAATTTTTCTGTTTGAGATTGATCATTTAAAAAACTCAGTATTATTATTGTGTGTCTCCTCTAGAATGGCTCTAGATGACAAGCTCTACCAGAGAGACTTAGAAGTTGCACTAGCATTGTCAGTGAAGGAAATTCCAACAGTAACCATTGATTTGGAGGACTCTCAAGGTAAAAGTAACTTTATTTTCTATATATTTATCTCTGTAACCTTCTCATTGGTTTTCTAATCATTTCTTGGGATCAGCCTTCACAGAGGAAAAAGTAATATTGTAATACTTTGGACTTTAAATAGTGTGATTTGAACAGGGTATAATTAGATTCAGTTGTTTATTCTGTTGCACAAATCTCATACATACATACATACATGCATACATACATACAACTCTCCTTAACTCCCAAAGTAAACTAGAGGACGTGGGCTATGAGCTTCAGTGTTCAAGTTACATTCTTGTATACAATGAAAATTTTATTTTTTGATCAAGTGAATTTATCTATACAATCTTAACAATCTACCTCTTTCTCTCAAAATTCAAATTAGTTAAACATGACCTAATTATGATAATCTTTATTATTTACAAAGGTCAAAGGTATTAATGTGCTTAGCAAGCTGAGTAGACTTAAGGGATCTATGGTTTCTGGATTTCTCTGTATTTTTCTCCTTTGAGTTTTCTGGCAATTGTCACGGGTGCCAATACTGACCTTCTGGAAAGGCAGAAAGCATTATCTGGAAGACACTTCAAACTTCTAAAATGCTTTTTTTTTAAACATTACATTTTATTAATTATGCTATTACAGTTGTTTCAGTTTTTCCCTCTTACCCGACTCCAGCCCTCTCACTCTTCCCCCCACCCACTCCCTCAGACAATCGCCCCATCATAGTCCATGTCCATGGGTCATTCATATATGCTCATTAGCTACTCTATTTCCTGTGCTGAACTTTACATCCCCTGTAACTACTGATTGGTACTCCTTAATCCCTTCACCTTTTTCTCCTATTCTCCCTACCCCCTCCCTTCTGGCAAACATCAAACTGTTCTCTGAATCTATGATTCTGTTTCTGTTCTGCTTGTTTATATATTTTTATTCTATAGATTCAATTGTTATTAGATATGTATTTGTTGCCATTTTATTGTTCATATTTTTTATCTTTTTCTTAAAGAAAGCCCTTTAACATTTCATATAATGCTGGTTTGGTGGTGATGTACTCCTTTAGATTTTTCTTGTCTGGGAAGCTTTTTATCTGCCTTCCCATTCTAAATGATAGCTTTGCTGGGTAGAGCAATCTTGGTTGTAGGTCCTTGCTTTTCATCACTTTGACTATTTCTTACCAATCCCTTCTAGTCTGCAACATTTCTTTTGAGACATCAGCTGACAGTCTTATGGGGATTCCCTCATAGGTAACTGACTTTTCTCTTACTGCTTTTAAGGTTCTCTCTTTGGTATTTTAATTATGGTGTGTCTTGGTGTAGGCTATTTAGCATCCATCTTGTTTGGGACAGTCTGTGCTTTCTGAATTTGTGTGTCTGTTTCCTTCACCAGTTTAGGGAAGCTTTCTTTCATTATTTTTTCAAGTAAGTTTCCAATTTCTTGCTCTTTCTCTTCTTCCGGCATCTTATGATGCAAATGTTGGAATGCTTGAAGTTGTCCCAGAGGCTCCTTACACTACTTTTGTTTTTCTGCATTCTTTTTTCAGCAATAATTGCACCTCTGATAAACCTCATTGGATACAATATGGTCACTGTACAAATCTGGATTATTTTTCTTCTTGCTGTTCTGGGTGTTTCCTGCTTTCTTATATCCCAAATCACTGATTGATTCTCAGCTTCATCCACTCTACTGTTGATTCCCTATAAATTGTTCTTTATTTTAATTAGTGTATCCTTCATTCCTGACTGGTTATTTTTTATGAATTCCATGCCCTTTTTTATGCTCTTGAAGTTCTCACTATGTTCACTGAGCATCCTTATAACCAGTGTTTTGAACTCTGCATCTAGTAGATTGCTTGTCTCCATTTTGTTTAGCTCTTTTCCTGGAGTTTTGTTCTGGTCTTTGTTTTGTTCATTTTGGCCATGATTCTTTGTCTCCTCATTTTGGCAGCCTCCCTGTTTGTTTCTATGTATTAGGTAGAACTGCTACATATCCCAGGCTTGGTAGAGTGGCCTAACATAGTAGGGGCCCTGTAAGGTCCAGTGGCACGGCCTCCCCTATTACCCAAGCTGGGTACTTGAGGTGTGCCCACTGAATGGGCTATGTACACCCTCCTGTTGTAGTTGAGCCTTGATTGCTGTTGGCACATCCAAGGTCAGCCACCACCTATGTTCTGTTTGGTGTCACACAACATAAGCTACAAAGTGATCTGCAGATGGCTGCTACTTTTGCTGGGCTTTGAGGTCCCCAGGTGAGGCTGAGGCGTGAATCGAGGCTGGCTGCTGCTAGCGTCCAGCCAGGGGCAACTTAGCGACAGGTACAGGAGCTTGCTGAAGCCAGATGCTGCTTGTTTGAGATAATTTAGGAAAATCTGAACATGAACCAAAACAAGCTACTCATATGGAAAAGCCACTGGAAACAACTTGCAAGGTCTGAAAGTTGGGTGGGGCAGGACCTCAGGGAATCACCAGGGTGGAGCGAAGAGTGTGAGCCAGGTTTGTGTAGTGTCAGATATGGCACCTACCTCCCAGCTTGGTGGCTCTGTGGTGGGAGGGCTCAGAAAAGGGACAGTGGTCTCTGCCAAAACTTCTCTCTGGGAGAAAGCTGCCCCCCAGCTCTTGCCCTGGTGCCAGACAGTTAGTTCCATTCTTCCCCATTTGTCTCTCATGTCTTTCAGTCTGCTGCCCCCATGCTGGAGCTCAGAGGGAGGGGATCTGCCAGGGAGTCCAGCAGTTTGTGTTCCGCAGCCTCAATCTCCTCTGGTTTTTACAGCCAGAAGTTATGGGAACTTCTCTTCCTGGCACTGGAACCCTCAGCTGAGGGGCCAGGTGTGGGGGTGGGGTCCCTCGCTCATGAGATATCCCTCCCAATTTTATCGCCATGTGTGGGTATGGATCATTCTACAATCTGCCCCTCCTACCAGCCTTGTTGTAGTTTTTCTTCAATTCCGTAGTTGTAGGGCTTCCATTTACCTCAATTTCTGACAGTTCTGAATGATGGTTGTTCTGTGGTTTAGTTGTAATTTTGATGTGATTGTGCAAGGAAGTGAGCCATGTTTACCTACATCTCCTTCTTAAAGTGTTTTTTGGATTATATTGTTTTGCTTTAAACTTCCTTTTTGTTGGAGGATATTTTTAGCCCATTAGTTTATGTAGGGGTATGGATTTTTTAAAAATCAGTATTGCCTCCTATATGAAAATAAATGAGACAGTGTTGATTAGGGGACTTTTAGTAATCAGGAATCATAGGAACTTTAAAAATGTTGGATATCAAACTTAAAAAAGTAAAATTCATCTTTTCTCCTGTAAGAGACTGTAGAATGTATAGCAGGATTTCTTTGTAAGTACAATTTCTCATAGAATAATATACTTTATAGCTGGGATTTAATGGTACCAATTATAATAACTTAAAGTTTTATTAAAATATTTTAGATCATTTTAAGGTTATTATAATGATCAAAGAGTCTCTATGCTAGTGAAAATATGGGTCTGCCTACACAGAAACAACAATTAATATTTATTGACTATTTCCTATGTACTGGGCACTACAATAAGCAATTTTCATGTGTAATTGACATTTAACCCCCCACAATAACCCCATTTAAACTTCACGCTATTTTCAGCTCCATATTATATATAAGGAGAGGATAAACAGCTTTCCTTTGGTCACATAGCCAATTGAAGTAGTAGAGCCTAAATTTGAACTTCAATCTAATTAACTCTGATTTCAGAGCCCAAACTCCTAACACTATGCTAGCCTCTCCAAGTAAAGCACTAGTTTGAGTTTGGATCATCTCTATATATACCTGGATGCTATTACATTTAGCACTAATCTTACTACTTTTAGGCATTGGTTGATTTAAGGTACATCTGTTTTTTTTCTTACATCTTTCTTATATTTAGGCAATGAAAAACATGGCAATAGTGAAACAGAAAAAATGGATAAGTCTCCTCATATCTCCAATTGCAGTGTAGCCAGTGATTATTTAGGTAAGTTTTTTTTTGTAGTAATAATAATATCTATTTATTACAACAATGCTATTTTTCTAACTTATATTTAAATTCCTGAAATTGTAGCTAGAACCAGGTTTTTAAATTTTGTCAAAGTTCTGTTAATCTCTCTTCTAGGTTTCTCTCTGTTTTGGCTTTCTTCTCTTTTACTGTAGACCCAATTTGTTTCCTGGTGAAGGTCAGGAATACCCATGGCTTCTAAATGATAGCAGTTGGCCACTGAAGAAAGGGGTTATATTTTCCCAGCTCTAGTTTGAAAATTCTTGGGGAAAGACTCTCTCATTTTGGATCCTGTACTAATTCTTAAACCAGACAGTGTTGCCAGGAGGCAGATGTATTATGATTGGCCCAGAATGGGCTATGTGGTATGTTACTAGAAGCAGGGGAAGGATGAAGCTGGGCAAATAAAAACAACAGATACAATAGGAATCTACTAGGAGTCTACTCACAGTTCTTTAAATATTACCATCACAAAGAGTTTTCCATTGAATTTTATGCCTCCCTCCCCTGAAGATTTGGACAAGATTACTGAGGAAGATGATTCTCATGATGTTCAAGGGAAAAGAAAAGCAGCATCTAAAGCAGCAGTGCAACAGAGGAAGATTCTTTTGGAAAGCAGTGATGGTGACAGTGCTAACGACTCCGAACCAGACTATGACACTGGTAAGTTACGTCCTACCTCAAAATTAATTCTATGGAAATTCAACAGTGCTATGGTCTCTAACAACATAAAATATATGCAGAGCACTGTGCTAAATGCAACCTGAGGAACACACAGGACAGTTAAATTCAGCCATCGCATTTGGGGGAAAGCTTTAACTGGAGATGACCTGTGAGACATGTGTTAAAAAAGAAGTAGCATTTAGGCATACTACAGGGGTAAAATAGCATTTCTGACTGATAGGCATAAACAGTGGGATAGATGAGTACATGTATATAAGAGTTCAGCCAGGGCTGTACGGAAGAATGCTGTAGAAAAGGCTCAAGAGCCAGGCAGGCAGGCACTAGATCATGGAGCATCTCAGACCCATTGTATGAAGTGTAGACTTTTTTCTGTGAGTAGTAGAAATTCATGAAATATTTTGGATAGAAGTGATATGATATCTGAACTTCTGGCTAAAATGGAGGTACAGGTAGGTACACTTAGGTTCCTCACACAACCAAAAGAAAGACAACGACAAATTTAAAAACAAAAACAACCAGAACTGACAAAATTGAACTGTATGGAACTCTGACAACCAAGGCATTAAAGAAGAAATATTCATCCAGGCTGTTAGGAGGGGTGGCAACAGGCAGCTGGGATGGAGAGGATGCACTGCAAGGAGACAGACCAGGCTGGGCAAGGTGGCAACTGACAGACCAGGTGGTCCCATGTTCACAAGCAGATAAGTCAGGAGGAATGAGTGGGAAGGAAGATGAACAACACAAGCCAGGGTTCCAGCATGGGGAAACTAAAGTCTCAAAAACCTCTGGCTGTAAAAACCTGTGTGAGGCTGGCTGGAGAAATTCCCAGGCTCACAGGAGAGTTCATTGGAGAGACCCACAGGGTCCTAGAATGTACACAAAACTACCCACCCAGGAATCAGCAACAGAAGGACCCAATCTGTGTGTAGGTAGTGGGTGAAGTGACCGAAAGCTGCTGAGAGCCCAGCAATCAGCATTGTTCCCTCTCTGACCCCTCTCCCACATACAGCACCAAGAGGAGTGACGTGGGTTGCGCTGCCCTGGCAAACACCTAAGGCTCCTCCCCTTATAATGTAACAGGTGCACCAAGACAAAGAAATACGGGCCAAACGAAAGAACAGATCAAAACTCCAGAAGAAGAACTAAGCAAGGAGGAGATAGCAAGCCTATCAGATGCAGAGTTCAAAACACTGGTAATCAGGTTGCTCATAGAAAATATTGAGTACAGACACAAAATAGAGGAAGCAGTATAAGCTATGCAAAGTGAAATAAAGAAAAATATACATGGAATCAATAGTGAAGGGAAGGAAACTGGGACTCAAAACAACAATTTGGAACAGAAGGAAGAAATAAACATCTAACTGGAGCAGAATGAAAAAACAAGAATTCAAAAAAATAAAGAGAGGCTTAGGAACCTCCAGGATAACTTTAAATGTTCCAACATCTGAATAATAGGGGTGCCAGAAGGAAAAGAGGAAGAGTAAGAAATTGAAAACTTATTTGAAAACATAATAAAGAAAAACTTCCCCAATCTGGCAAAGGAACTAGACATGCAAGTCCAGGATTCTCAGAGTCCCAAAGAAGTTAGACCCAAGAAGAAATATACCAAGACATATTAAAATTAAATTAATCAAGATTAAAGATAAGGAAAGAAAAGCAGCAAGTGGAAAGGAGATAGTTACCTACAAAGGAGTCCCCATAAGACTGTCAGCTGATTTCTCAAAAGAAATCTTGCAGGCAAGAAGGGGCTGGAAAGAAGTATTCCAAGTCATGAAAGGCAAGGACCTACATCCAAGATGACTCAATCCAGCAAAGCTCTGATTAGGATGGAAGAGCAGATAAAGTGCTACCCAGATAAGGTCAAGTTAAAGAAGTTCATCTTCATCAAGCCCTTATTCTATTAAATGTTAAAGAGACTTATCTAAGAAAAAGAGGATGAAAAATATGAACAGTAAAATGAAATTAAACTCACAACCATCAACAACTGAACCTGAAAAACAAACAAACAAACAAAAGCTAAGCAAACAACTAGAACAGGAACAGAATCACAGAAATGGAGATCACAAGGAGTGTCATCAGCAGGGAGGGGGAGAATGGGGGGGAAAGGTACAGGGAATAAGAAGCATAAATTGTAGGTACAAAAGAGATAGAGGAGTTAAGAATAGTATAGGAAATGGAGAAGCCAAACAACTTATATATATGACCCATGGACATGAACTAAGATGGGAGAGATGCTGGAGGGAGGAGGGGGTGCAAGGCAGAGGGGAATCAAGGTGGGTAGGAGTGGAACAACTGGAATACCATAATCAATAAAATACACAAAAATAAATGAATAAATGAATAAAATATTTAAAAATATAATGCAATCCACGAATGTGTGTCACATGTAATTTTAAATTTTCAGTAAGAAAGTAAAAAGAAACATATATAGTTTATCCTCACTTGAGGATATGTTTATTGATTTTAGAAAGAGAGAGAGAAACATCAATCAGGGGATCGAATCTGCACTCTAGGTATATGCCCAGACTGAGAATTGAACCTGTAAACTTTTGGTGTATGAGATGATTCTCCAACCAACTGAGTCACCTGGCCAGTGCACCCCTCTACTCTTAAAAGTAAATAGTTAAGGACTTGAATAGACATTTCTTCAAAAATGATACACAAATGGCCAAAAAGCATATGAAAAAAGGCTCAATATCACTAATCAGTAGAGAAATACAAATCAAAATCACAATGAGCTTTCACTTCACAGTCATTAGGATGTTAAAAAACAGAAAATAACAAGTATTGGTGAGGATGTGGAGAAATTAGAATTCTTGTGCAGTGTTAGTGGGAATGTAAAGTGATCAACTGCTATGAAAAACAGTATGGCATTACTCAATTAAAAATAGAACTCTATAAATCTAGCATTTCTACTTCTGGGTATATATGCAAAAGAATTGAAAGCTGGGTCTCAAACATTTGCACACCCATAGCCACCTTATTAACAGTAGCCTAGAAGTGTAAGCAACCCAAATATCCATTGATGAATACACAAACAAAATGTGGGATATACATACAATAGAACACTATTCAACCTTAAAAAGGAAATCCTGTTACATGCCACACCTTGGATGAACCTTGAAGACTTTTTGTAAATGAAATAAGCCAGTCCCAAAACAAATACTGTGATTCCACTTATATGAGGTATCTAAAATGTCCATAGAACAAAAAGTGGAATGGTGGTTAGCAGAGACTGGGGCAAGAGGGAATGGGGAGTTGTTCAGTGAGTACTGAATCTCTGTTTTGCAAAATATAAGAGTTCTGGAGGACTGTCGCACAAAAACGTAAATATACATTCTTAACACTACTGATTTTCATACTTAAAAATGGTTAAGATAGGAAATTTTATAATTTTTTACCACAATTTAAAACATTTTTAAGGAAATAATCACTTTAAAAAATAAATAGCTTAGTTCCAGGTTGTTTTCTCACTCAAATCTGCATAAGCAAGTATTTTTAGATGAAATATGAGTCATAGTTTTGAGTCCTGTACAGGTGAGCAGTGAGTTAGAATATAGAAAACATGGAAAGTAGAAAAGAAAACATTTGTTGAAATATGAGTGCTTCTGAAGTTATGCTGGATATGAAGAATGCAAAGAATATTTCTAACTGAAAATTATTCTTCCTTAAATTCAAAACCTGTAGTTGTTTGGGGGAAAATGTGGTTGTCAAATGGTGATTTTACTGTGAACTCTGGTAATAAGGGTTGTTTTAACTGTAACTAGGACAATAATCACAATGGGAGGCCATTGTGGTAAAAATGATTTGTCAGTTAATGGAATGTTTGAGTTATTGGATGTTAGACTGGTTAAGACTTTGGGAGAAAATGATGCTAGTGGTTTATGTAGTAATAGATGCTTAAAAATTCTTAGGTTCTATTTTGCAAGATGCAAAAGTTCTGATCCTCTTGCATCACTTGTAGACTAAAATGACTATTTCTTTTCTAGATCTCTGTGTGCTGATTTGTTTTTTTCCCTGCTTCATTTTTATGGTTTCCACCAAACAAGTACAGCTATTCTTCCTTTAAAAAGACATGTGATCCAGCCCTGACAAGCAGGCCCTCAACCCTTACAGAAAGCTAGCTCTTTAGCTGAAGGGTTGATAACTGCCATCTGGCCTAAGTTGTGGATGTGCAAACTAAGCCTTTAAGTAAAATTTTTTCATCGCCTCTCTAACTTTCTGACTCCTCTTTCTGACTCCAATCCAAGAACACAAAAGTATTACACTATCTTGTAAAGCCTCTTTAATCTACTCTAGCCAAGTCTGTTTTACCTTAAATTGAAATACATATTCCTCCTTGCTTAGTGTACTTTAAGTTGCAATGCAGTCAGTGTATTTTCATTCACCCTAGGCCCAGAATGACTAACAACTCTCCAAACCCCTCAGAGTTGCTTTTTATTATACTTGAACCTGTGACTGGTATCATTTCAGACAACTGGAAGGTTTTTTTTCCTTCTGTTTTTTGTTTGGTTGGTTTTTGAAGCAGCATTCTTTTCTTTAGGTAACATGTCAGGGTTTTCCTTCTGCATTGACTCACCCTAGATGAAAGTGAAAATTGAAGCGAACATAACCGAAATCTATAACTAAAGTGATTGGGCCTTCTAGCTTTTCTAATCTGGCATACTAGTTACTTGGGATTCTGGGATCTCCATCTTTCCACCTCCAAATTATTTAACCACTTTCTCAGTTGACTGATGAAGATCAGTTGGACCCCATCTTTAGATAAGCTTGTTCAGTAGACTTATACCCAGCTTAGGAGCTGTTTATTCTCTCCAGCCAAGAAAAGAACACATGTTGTACCAGAACTGTTGAATACATAGCAAGTTTTGTCCTCCTATATTTTATATTCTAAACTTTTGGAGAAACTTCTCCCCTGCTTCCCATCCCCCTGAACCTAGATGCTCTTGGGACTCCAGCAATAATTACTTGATTTTTAAAAGTACTATTTATAACAGCCTTTAAGCCATCTGCTGATCTGAGATGGCTAATTCTTTATAACACAGTAATCATTATGTAAACATATGAGTTAATTACTCTCATACTTTTAAAAAATTATATTTGTGTGGAAAGAATGATGGAATAAGGAAATTGTACTTTGAAGATCATAATGACCATCGTTAATTTAGGCAAAGATCATCAGTGGAAGGCTGATGAGGATCTTTACAGTGGAGAATTCAGGCTGGCCTCAACTGAACCAACAAAGAGTGGGACAACCACATGTTTTGTGCTTTCTGATGTAATACGAAGTATAGAGCATCACCTGTGAAGTGTATTCTTACCAAAAAATAATAATAATATGAGCCTGATTCTAATTGAGTCCTGAGATAATTCCAGCTCACAGAAAATGCAAGAATAAATTAAATGACACCATGAGGAAGAAAAGAGACAAATCCAGAATGTGGAACACTTTATAGGGCAACTAATTTGGTTATTTCAACAAGGGGGGGCAGGGGAAAGGAGGGGATGTTGTTTTATATTAAAAGTGATTAATATGAACTGGATAGAAGGTGATGCCAAGAAACTATTATTAACATTGTTAGATATGATAATGCCATTGTTTTGTTTTTTTAAAAAAGTCCACGATTTTTAGAGATGCATTCTGCAGTATACAGGAATGGAATGACATGACGCCTCAGGTTTAATATACTCCAAGAAGGAAAGGGAAGAGAAAAGAAGAAGAGGGAGGTAGATAAAACAAATAACACCAAAATATTGAGGACTGTTGAAGAGTTTATTACCTGTTGTTATGTATGTTTGAAATTTTTCATACATTTTTATCTTTTTATATAAAATATATTTCATGTAGACAGGTAGGTAGATGTTATGTATGGTGAGCCTGACAGTGGTTATCTTTGAGTGGTGAGATTAGGACATGGACCTTCTTTTTGCTTATCAAGTATTCTCCATACTTTTTCCAGAACAGCTGTGCCTATTTAACATTCTATCACTGGCTTATATCATCCCCTGCAGCAGAGACAAGAGTTTGTGGGGAATTAGAAGTGTGTCCCAAACGAAATCATAAAAGCAGTATCTGTTAAGATTGTTATGGTATGGTTAATCTCTACTCAATTCCCAATGTATTTCTATTCTAGAATGTTGAAGTTTATGTGATTATTGATACCATCAAGGTTGTCATTATAAAAAAGTAGCTAATGTTACATCCTAACATTCTTTTCAAAGGTTACTGAGTTAAACTGGTAAAATCAAAAGTAAAGATTACTAATGGGAAATTATAATGATAATAGTAACAGGAAACAATTCTATTTTACCGCTGTATGACAGATGTTATTCCACATGCTTTACCTATATTAACTCATTTAATCCACAGAACAACCCTGTGATGTAGGTTTTATGGTTATCCCCTCTTTATACATAGGAAACTAAGGCACAGTGCAATGAGTGAGCAACTTGTTGGAGGTCACACAATGTGTAGATGGAGGGGCCAGGATTTGAACCCAGGCACCATGTTCTCCATAACTGCATTGTTTCATACAGGACATAGCTTAGCACAATGTTACACAAGAACCTGGTGTGAGACTTCTGGTCAAGATGGCAGCATAGGCAGACATAGCTCACCTCTTCAAAATCCACGTCAAAATTACAACTAAAATATAGAACAGCAATCACTCAGAACTGTCAGAAATCGAGTTGAATGGAAGTCAACTATGGAACTAAAGAAACCACATCCATCCAGACTGGTAGTAGTGGCACAGATATGGAATGGGCTTGTCCAACACTCACATGTGGTGGATAAAAATTCAGGAGGATTACCTTGGGAGAGAGGAGTCTCAGCCTCATGACAGGCCCCTCAGCTCAGGGTTCCAGTGCCAGGAAGATAAGTCCCCACAACCTCTGGCTGAACAAAACAGTGGGTATTGAGTTATGGAAGAAACTTCTGGAGCCCCAGGCAGTTCCTCTTAAAGAACCCACACACGTACTCACCTACTCTGACTTACTCCTTTTGAGCTCCAGCACCAGGGTAGCAGTTTGAAAGACATACTGGGAGAAACTGAAGTTTTGGGTTCAAGGTGAGCAGAGGCCATTGTCCCTTTCCTAAACCCCACCACCACAATGCTGGCAAGCTGGTGCCATAACTGAGACTCCATCAACCTGGCTAACACTGTTTGACCTGCCTTGGAATTCCTCAGAGACCTGCCCCACACAACTTACAGGCCCACCCAACATGCTTTTCCATATGAATGGCTGGTCTTGGCTCAAGCTTCACAACTTCCTAAATCCTCTCAAACAAGCAACTGTTGGCCTCAGCTAGCCCTAGGAATGGCACGAGCAGCAGCCGGTCTAGATTCACAGCTTAGCTTTGCCTGGGAATCTCCAAGCCCAGCATGGAGTAGCAGCCATCTCAGAATACTTTATAACTCAGACAGGGTGACACCAGGCAAAACACAGGTGGGGTTTGATGTTAGCCTCCACCACCCAGGGAAACCCTAGGGCCTGGACACCCAGTGGACGGCTACAGACAACATTGGAGCACCACCCTGCCCCTGCACAGCTGATTCTCCATGGAAGGTGGTAAGTAGTCACAGCCAATCCTTGCAGCTGACTGGTTTGGGTAAATCCCTCCCATTGACTTGCCAACAGCAACCAAGGCTCAACTATAAGAAGTTGTACTCAGCCCACATACAGGATGTACCTCGAGTACACAGCTTGGGTGATAGGGGAGGCTGTGCCACTGGACCCCATGGGACACCTACTACATTAGGCCATACTACCAAGACACAGACTCAAAGCAGCTCTACCTAATGCATAGAAACAAACATAGGGAGGCTGCCAAAATGAGGAGACAAACATGTCCCAAATGAAAGAACAGATCAAAACTCTATAAAAGAGCTAAATGAAATGGAGATAAGCAATCTATCAGATGCAGAGTTCCAAACACTGGTTATAAGGATGCTCAAGGAACTCGGTGAGGACCTCAACAGCATAAAAAAGATCCAATCAGAAACAAAGGATATACTAATTGAAATCAAGAACAATTTAAAAGGAAAAAACAGTAGAGTAGATGAAGCTAAGAATCAAATCAATGATTTGGAACTGAAGGAAAAAACAACCAATACAGAACAACAAGAAGAAAAAACAATCCTCCAAAATGAGGATAGTATAAGCAGCCTCTGGGACAGCATCAAGTGTTGCAACATTTGCATCATACGGGTGCCAGAAAGAGAAGAGAAAGAGCAAGAATTTATAAACCCATTTGGAAAAACAATGAAAGAAAACTTCCCTAATTTGGTAAAGGAGAGACATGCAAGCCCAGGAAGCACAGAGAGTCCCAAACAAGATGGATACAAAAAGGCCCACTCCAAGACACATCATAATCAAAATGCCAAAGGTTAAATACAAAGAGAGAATCTTAAAAGCAGCAACAGGAAAGCAGTTAGTTACTTACAGGGGACTTCCCATAAGACTGTTAGCTGATTTTTCAAAAGAAACTTTGCAGGCTAGAAGGGATTGGCAAGACATTCAAAGTCATGAAAAGCAGGGACCTACAGCCAGGACTGCTCTACCCACCTAAGCTGTCATTAAAATCAACAGGTAGATAAAGAGCTTCCCAGATAAGAGAAAATTAAAGGAGTCCATCATCACCAAACCACTGTTACATGAAATGTTAAAGGTACTTATTTAAGAAAAAGATCAAAACTATGAACAATAAAATGGCAAAAAATACATATCTATCATCAGTTGTCCCTAAAAAACAAAGCAAACAAGAACAACAGAGACAGAATCATGGATACAGAGAACATTTTGATGGTTGCCAGATGGAATGGTGGCATAGGGAATGGGTGAAGAGGTGGGAGGATAAAGAAGTACAAATAGGTAGTTACAGAATAGCCATGGGGATGTAAAGTACAGTAGAGGAAATAGAGTAGTCCAAGAACTTATACTCAGGACCCACAGACATATACAATGGTGGGGGGATTGCCTGAGGGAGTAGGGGTTGCTGGGTGGAGGTGACCAAGGGGGAAAATCAGGACAACTATAATAGCATAATCAATAAAATATAATTTAAAAAATAATACAATAATTAGTAATAATACAAGAAAAATAATCTGGTTACAAGAGCTGTAGATAAAGTCAAGACCATAGAAGCCTCACTTTTTTTTTTAATTTTAAGTGTTGTTCAAGTACAGTTTTCTGTCTTTTACTCCCATCCCAGCTAACCCCCCCAGCCCTCCTCACTCCCTCCCATTTCTACTGGCCCCCCCCCCTCCCAGTTTTTGTCCATGTGTCCTTTACACTTGTTCCTGTAAACCCTTCCCCTCTTCTCCTGAAATTCCCTCCCCTCTGCCTTCTGGGAGCCTCACTTTTTATAACAAAGGTAAAGTATATCATCTTGTTTTAGGTGAAGATTCTGAGGATGATTCTGATATTAGTGAGAGTGAAGATAATGATGAAGACTTCACTATGACAAAAAGTAAAGAAATTAAAAAGAAAGAAGTGAAGGTCAAATCCCCAGTTGAAAAGAAAGAGAAGAAACCTAAGTCCAAATGTAATACATTAGGTAAGCTTAGTTTAAAACAGTTTGTAAAGAAAATGTATTTGGTTTATTTAATGGGTTTTTCTTATTTTTGCCTTTGTTCTCCTTAAAAGTTTGCCAGCGTTCATTTCTATGTGGTTAAAATACATAGAAGAAAGCAGGGTGGGGTGGGGAAAGGAGAACAACGAACAAGACTAGTAAGCTCTACTACAAGTCTAGCACTTTCTGTAATTACCTCCCTTTAGCACTGACAGCCACCCTCTAAGATAGCTGTTATCACCTGCATTTCACAGTGAGAAAACAGGCTCAGGAAGGTTAAATAATTTGTTGGGATTCTGACAACTAATAAGTGAGGGGCTGGGATTTGCACCCAGGTTTGTCCATTCAGGTCCTGAACTCTATCCACTGGACCACATTTTCTTCAGGCAATTAAACAGGCAACTTTTCATGATTCTAACTTCTTGCTTTCATGCTTGATTAATCTTTGATTTGAGAACCCTTTTGCCACATGTTAGAGCCTTTTTGTTTTTCTCAAAACAAACTCTGTTACAAACCATTTTTCGCAGTAAAACTTTTGCAATTTGTGACTATTTGAACATAGAATACCTATTTCTTCTGTAAAAGAAGTTAGGATGTTTTTAACTCATAATATATAATAGATTATTACAACATGCAACTTTCATTAACTTGATTTGTTTTACTTATATATATTTATGTTCTATTTGCTCAATATAAATGCTTTTTGAAACTAAAATTTCCATTATACAGACTGCATTTATTAATGGTGGGAATTGCTCTTGCCTTATATACCATGGTGTTGAGTACTTGGTAAGAAATAAGAATTATATACTGATTGAGTCATAGTGTTCTCTCCACTGTACTCTGAATTAATGAGGTCTTAATTATTGTTTTTTTAATTGATAGATTTGTTTCCCAGAAATTACATTTCAAATGTAGGGCTTTTTAGAGATAAAGTTGTGTATTAGTTTACAATTGCTGCTGTAAAAGATTACTACAGACTCAGTGGCTGAGAATGCCACAATGTATTATTTTACAGTTCTGCAGATCACACGCTAAAATTAGATCTCGCGGGGGTAAAGTCAGGCTATTGGTAAGCTGTGCTCTGTGGAGACTGTAGGGGACATCCATCACCCTGCCTAGAGGCTGCCTCTGTGTTTTGACGAGATGCCCACTTCAGTCTCTGAAGCCAGCAGTGGCAGGGACCTTTTCACCTCGCATTGCGCTCACTCTCATTCCTGCTTCTCAGTCTCACTTATAAGGACCCTTGTGAGAACATTGGGCCCATGCAGATAATTCGGGAAAATCTCCCCATCTCAAGATCCTTAACTTAAAGGTCTCTGCTGAGACCCTTTGCTGTGTAAGGTAACATATGCACATGTTTTGGGAATTGGGATATAGACATTTTTGAAGGGCCATTTTTCTGCTTACCATAAGCTAATATGAATACATCATTAACAGTATGAATGTACAGTGATCCCTCACCTATTGCAGAGGGATCACCTATATATATATTTTAAGGCCTTATAAACCCTTCCTATAAACCTTTCCCACACTCTTATAGGCACTTCATATGCTCTTAAACACTTTCTGTATTCTTAAACCTATGTAATTTTAACAACATATAAAATTCTACATGGGTACTCCCCAGTGAAATATACAGTCGTCCCTCACTATATTGCAGTCCACTTACTGCAGCTTCACTGTATTGCAGGTTACCCCTAATAAGTGGACTTCAATATAGCGAGGGATGACTGTATTTTATATATTTTTAGATGTCTCTGCTTCTTTCCCAAGACACTAAACACTAAAAATAAAATTTTAGTTTCCAAGTTGTAATTTACTTTATAAAGTTGTATATATTTTGGAACAAGTTGCTTCACAAAGAATTTTAATACATAATATTAGAAGTATAATTTAACTCCTAAATAATGGGATAAAGAATGAGAAAGATGAATTATATTTATAGTTCTATTAATAATGTATTGAGTAACCTTTGAGAGTCTTCCATCTGGCACGTTATAATTTTTTTCCTTGATGGAGAAAATTTCAAGAATTGTGCTGTTTAATGTGGTAGCCACTAACCACTTGTAGCTATATTACATTTGTGTTAATTAAATAAAATTAAAGATCAGTTCTTTGGTTTTGCTAGTCACATTTCAAGTGCTCAATAACAATATGTGGCTAGTGGCTATCACATTGGACAGCACAAAATACACATTTCCATCGTCACAAAAAGGTTCTGTTGAACAGTACTGATCTAGGGAATATGTGTCTATTAGTCTATTAAAAAGACTATGTAGTGAAAATTTTCATATTCATAGGCATTTAGGATACCCCTTAGGTAACTCAAAGCAAGCATAATCTGAAAGCAAATTTATATTTCACCTCTCTTCCTCCCTTTGTTCTCCACCCCACCCTGCCAAAAACCCAAGCTGACTCCCATCCTTGTGTTTATTCTCTGAGGTCATGCACCACCAAGCAGTGTACCCCTGACAGGAACTTTCAAGTCATCAGTGTTTCATCTCCATCACCACCTCCCTCTGTCTAATTACTAAAAGATACCTAATCTGCTATTTTTTCCCTCCTTCTTCCCCTTAGTTCAGGAGCTTATCACCTCTCAGTTGCACTACCATAAGAGCCTTCTCAGAGGTCTGCTTGACATACACTACTATCAGAAAGATGTTTTCAAAATGCAGGTGCTCCTGAGAGAAATTAATGCATGACTCCCTCACTGGTATGCAGGCTCTCCATCAGCGATCTGAACCTTGTCTATACCTCTCACCTTTCCAGCTCTTGCCGTTCTGGCTGCGGCCATACTGAGCCAGTAGCTGATCCTGGAACTTGGTGCATCCTCTGGCTTTGTTCTTACTCCCTCTGCCTGGAAAGCTTCCTCTAACCTTCCAGCCTTGATTTGTTTCAAATTAATCTCCCCCACCTCCCTGTGACTTCTAAACCTATGCAAATATGCACACAGAGTAGATGTTCCCTCCGACCGTACATATCTCCAGAGTCTTTCATAGCTCTCTTATCACTCTGCATTATACACATCTCATTATTTGATGCCCTTTCTCTGGAGTCCAGTGGCTGGACCATGGAAATTCCTTGGGAGCAGGATCCACAAATTATGCTCTTTGTGGCCCTAGAGCCTAATACATTGTCTCACAGATCTATCCTCATGAGCAACTGTTGTGTAATGTTTAGAAGGATAAACTTTGGAGTCAGACCTGGTTCCTAATCCTGGTTATAACATTTACTAGAGATCAAACTGTGGTGGATTCCAGCCAGCAGAGTCTGCCTGTTGTGACTGAAGACGACAACAAGTGCACAGGCTACAGTAATCCTGTGGAGAAAAGGGGGAATGGCATGGCCACTCTCTCAGGGGGAGAACACCCCAACCCTTGCCTAGACAAGCTTTTATTGTTTCTCTCGGGTCTTACATCAAAGAAGGATTTATTATCTATTACATAGAATATTGTTGTCTACATTTTAGATACAATCAAGGAAATAAAAATAACATATGCAGAATGGAAAGGTGGCAAGCTGGTTAGCTCCGTCTTTGGGAAAACTCACACAGGCTTTGGAAATTACCTTGAAGATAGACAGTGCACATCTACTGTTTCAGACCAGGGTGAGGGAGTTTTAGCAAGAGCAAGCCGTAACAGTCCGTATGCATTTTCTAGGCCTGATTCCCATGGGGAAACTCAGTTTGAAGGTTTGGCTCCTGCCCACCACCTCACTTCTGTAGGTTTTCCATACAGAGCTGAGTCACATTTGCTAGACCAAAACAAACCGGTCTACATCAAACTGCAGGCATTTTGCTTAACCTCTCTGTTTCCTTCTGTGACAGTGAAGATAGTAATATTTGTATCAGACTTGCTCTAAGGATTAAAGATAATGTATATAATATTTTTGATGTACTGCCTGTCATATAAATGTTCACAAAAGATGGCTATTCTGAGGCTCTCAGTAAATGTTTATTGAATAATAAGAGTTTTTCAAAATGATGCTGCCTTTTTAATATTTATAAGGTTATATAACTTTTACACATTCATGCTAGGTTTAATCTTCATCTAAGACAAACTATTTTGTGTGTATTTTTCAAAAAGTGACTTCAGTAGACTCTGTTCCAGCTGCCGTCAAATCAAAATCTCAGCCTTCACCAAAAAAGGTTTCTCATTCTTCAGAGGCTTCTAGGAAACCATTGCAAATATGCAGTCCTCCAGCTGAAATCAAGAGACCTAAGTGGGTCCCACCAGGTATGGTATATTTATTGATCAAGGGGAGGTTCTTGGAAAATTATTACTGGTTGATTGTTTTCCTAGTTATAAATGTTATACATATTATTACCTTTTCTTCAAAACCAAGGTTTTTCCTTTACTCATTTTATCATTCCCTCATATTGAGCATTCAGATTGTTTATTAGTTTTTTAATGTTATAAATAAGGTGGCAATAAGCACAGACAACCTTATTTTAGAAGTCTGTGGTCACATCCTGATTATTTTCTTAGGATAAATTCCTGGTGGGAGAATTACAGGGTCAAAGAGCGTTAACATTTAAGATTTCTGATTTATGTTTTTGGCAGCAGATCTGTTTGCTCAAGACCTGCTGACCTCCATAGTCTAAATGGAGCATCAGGCCTATACATGGGAATTCCAGCATTTAACAAACACCCTAGCAAACTCAACCTCCAGCTCGTACAAACTTGACCTCTTTTTGTTTTCTTTTTGTTTCACGGCTAAGTCTCACTGATGCTTCAAGAATTCTTTGACTTTCCACTACTTGACATTACTAAAACTCTAATCCAGCCCTGTTCATTTTATACCCAAACTATTGGTGACTTGCTTCCTAACTAGTTCTGTCTCCACTTTCCCTTGTCCAGTCATTAGTTGCTTGTTGAACACAGAGCCTCTCTTCATCCAGTTTTCTTCTTCTAATACGTTTTTCTTCATTTGTCCCCTGTCCTCTGAGTCGTCCTGCAGCTGCTCAGCTTTACTTTACTTCTTCCCAGCGACATTTTGTGATTGGTCCGCAGCAGTAACTCCCCTAGTCATAACTAGGTATTAATAGACAGAGTTAGGCCCAAGACATGATTATTTAACTTCTCAGTCTTCATTTCTTCGGAAATACTAGGCACTGTATAATCTTTAAAGTCTTTTCTGGTTTAAAAAATGTAAGATTTTAATGGGGACTTAAAAGTGTTTTGGAGAAGGAACGGAAGTTGTTATTGAATTAATGATGCCATGTCATTTAAAGGATAATCCTTAGTGTATTTCCAAAAACAATTAGTGATTCCCCAAAAAAGGAATTTAAAAGAAGTGATAAAATGACTAGGAATTTAAAGGTAGCATAATCCAAAATATAAAAAGGAAATAAAGCAATGACATGGAATGGATGGATACAGTGAATGTCATAAAGCACACAGTGCTCATAGATTCATTGTGTGAAAGGGTAGGGCAAGTAATGGCAGGGAACTGGGCCTGGGTCACAGACTTGAGTCAGTAGGGATCTCATGCCCTTTGGAGGGAAGCAGCTGTTGCTCGACTCCGGCTAATCGTTTATGTGCAGGATTATTGGCCTGTTATTTCCAGATCTGATTTTTACTTCAAGAGAAGCTAGAAATCTCGATTTTTTAAAATGGGAAATTTAGTTTTTAAAACTTGACTTTTTTTTACACCATGTGGATGAAACACTATATCTGAGAGCTAGATTTTACCCTCAGGTTGCCAGTTAATTACTGTTTTATTTAAATGTGAGAAGACCACCAAGATCCCAGTAGGAAAATCAGCCAAGGACATGAACATACTAATGCTCCTAAGAAATACAACTAGAAATAAATGTGAAAAGAATTTCAGTCTCATTGGTAATTAAGAAAATGTAAGTTAAAATAATAAAATACCATTTTATATCTATCAAAATAGAAAGTAATAAAGCAGTATAATCCAGGACACCCTGGGCTTTGGGGGAGCAGATATAATTATTTACTATAAATTTACAAATTTATAATTCCTTTATAGGACAGCTTGACAGGAGTCATAAAAATAAACCTATCCTTTGGGAATTTATTACTTAAGGAGAATTCAAGAGAAGAGAAAAGTAATTAAGTGGTCAGATTTGTATAACTGTATAAAAATGGTGACAAATGGAACAGTCCGAAAGTTTTTCAGAACAACTTGAACTATGGCACATACTGAATGAGCAATGGTGAATCAGGTAGTTAGCAACATGGGAGTGTTTATAAGTCTTCACTTGAATGAAGTGCACACAGTCAGTCTGTGCACAGTCGCAATCAACTATGAACTGTTATGTGTGTAAATTTTGAAATTTAATACTCAATGGAAATAATGGTATGTTAGAGTGGTAGTATAAATGAAACCAGTATAAATTAAAAAAACAGTATTTGTCATGTTTAAAGTGATATAGTATTTGAAAAAATAGATTGTTTCAAAGGAGTACTTGTAAAAATTGCAGGATTTTTAAAAATGCATTAGATTTTTCTACTGTTTTAGAAATGATGATTGCATTCATTTTTCCCCCATTACAACCAATGTTATTTGCTCCCAGTTTATCTGTTTCAGCCTTTATGCTTAAAATTTTGGTACCATGACCTTGCCTTCTAGGGATATTTGAAAATAGGTGATACTATAGTTTTTCTGCTCTTTAGTACTTTCCATTACTTTGATCTTGTGTATAACTTGATAGAAGCTGTATAGCAGAATAATGCTTAACTGCATTTATTGCTTCATTTATTTTATAAATTCATTTTTGTTAAGAGATTTCTAACATCATCAGCATTGGTGATATGTTTTCTTTCAGCGGCATCCGGAAGTAGCTGCACCAGCAGCAGTCCACTGGCAGGGGTGTCTGTTAAGTCTCCAAATCAGAGTCTCCGCCTTGGCTTGTCCAGATTAGCACGAGTTAAACCTCTGCACCCAAATGCCGCTAGTAGCTGAGTGTGGTGGTAAAGAAATGTTTGGTTTAGAGAATCACAGTTTGACAAGTGTTTTTATATTTGATTTGTATTTATATTTGAAGAGGGTATTGTATTATAAAGGAATCGTTTAACATAAATTGTCTTTACCCATTTTGTGATTATGTTCTCTGAAAAGCTATTCAAGACTTCAATAAGAGCAAGTTTGTTTGTGAGAACTATCTTGTAATGTCATTTCCTTCTGAAGAACATATTCTATATTCTTATGTGTAGTAAGTCATTGTCATTAAGTGGTTGTCTCTTTGAAGTGGAGGAAGTCCACAATTACGCGCTTTTTTTTTCTAGCAACATGAGGTTTCTTTCTAGCTTTGACTAGTTTATGGCACCTTAACTTTGTTCAGAGTTGATCTGGCAAAAAAAAACATCCCCAGCTTTTGTAGGAGACATTTCTGAAATATGTTACTTAAACTATATTGTCAGTTTTATTGCCAAGATGTTTATTATTTTAGCCAAATGTTTTAAAGTAAGAATTGAGAATGATTTTACACATTAAAACAGTTGCTAAAATATGGCATATGTCTCCTACTTAGATAGAGATGGTTATTGTATAGGAAATAGAATTCATGACATTTTATGAAGCCCTCATGGTCAAAACCTTTAATAAACATGAAAAAGTTTTGATAAACTCTTTTCCTTTTAGACATTGTATCCATCTGTCTCTGCATTTCATGATGAAATGAATGCTTAGCAAAAAACAAGAGCATTTTGTTATAAATATAAGGGGTGGGGGCTGTTCAAGTAATCACTTTTTGTTGAGTCATTGCATTAGAGGGTGAATGTCAAGTACCTGCCTAGTCCTCCCTATTGTGATATTAGATAATGTAGCATTTCAGGAAACTTAGATCTGAATTTGTTGTGAATAAAACTAGTAATAGATAGTTTATATTTATGGTGAGAATTTCAACCAACTCCTGATTACTTTTTAATAAAAATTCTTCAAGTCACATTAACCATTAAAAAATGTATAATATGTAGCTCAGTTCTTGGATTATGGAAATGTCTATGTTAATATGAAAATAAGTAATTTAGAATTATGATTAAAGTGAGCATTTACTTATTGCTATTGTTCATTTTTTATTATCTAGTATAGATTTTTATACTGTCACCTCTCCTACTCCCTCCCTCCTTTTAAAAAACATTTTCCAGTTATACAGTATTGGGATGCCCTATATGACACAGTTCAACAATAAACACATATTAAGAGCCCACCCTGTATTAGGTACTGAATTCATTGATTAATCATCTGGTACCAGCTTTATGAACCTGTTTTGTCCATGCTATTCATAGTTTCTATTGAAAATTACCAAAAATTACATTAAACTGGCCTTGTAGTAAGCATTAACAAGCTTTCTGTTGACAGATCCAGTGCACGTTTTTCTCATCTAATCTTATTGACCCTATTTATCATACTCTGCATAATACATTTTATTTCCTGGGCTCACATAATAATATTCTTCCATAATTTTCTCCCCACTTCCCTGCTTATTCTTCATTATTTTGTAGCTTCTAATCTTTTGTGTCACCTACACCCATTCCTCCCACCACAGTGTCATTCTGTGATTTTATTATTTTTCTTTTGCCTCTTTTGAAAAAAAAGTTAAAAAAGCTTAGGTGATTTTAAGCTCCAGTGATCACCTGTGTGACAGTGACTGTCAAGTCAGGATCTTTAGTCTGTATCTTGCTCTGCACAAGACCTGTTTCCTGGCCCGTTGATAGTTTATTAAGTCATCACTAAATAACATCTGCCTCTGCCCCTGCCCCAAAGTCTTCCCTCCTGCATTTTCTGTTAGTAAATGGCACCACCACAAACTCAGGTGCCTAAGATATTGCCACCCTTCACCTTCAATTGCCAAGCTCTATTTCATTTCCTCAGCTGCTCAAAACTGTTGTCTCCTTCCACTTGCTGTCCCTAGCCTGTGCATCCTTGCCTTGATTCTTAACCTACTCTGGCCTACCCTCCATGCCATTATTGCCAGAGAGAGTTTTCTAAAATAAAGTCAGCATGAATACCATTCTGCTTAAAACCCAGCCCCTGGCTGGTGTGGCTCAGTGGACTGAGCGTCAGCCTGCAAACCCAAAGGGTTGCTGGTTTGATTTCTAGTCAGGGCACATGCCTGGGTTCCGGACCAGGTCTCCAGTAGGGGATGCCCAAGAGGCAACCATACATTGATGTTTCTCTCCCTCTTTCTCTTTCCCTTCCCCTCTCTCTAAAAATAAATAAATAAAGTAAAATCCACACACATACACCTTAGCCTGTGTAGCTCACAAGATGTTTCGAATCAGTCTGACCCCTACTGCTGACACCCATGGTACTGTGTGGTCCTGCCCCCACCTCCCCCAGCCTTCGGACTGGCTCTTACTTGCCTTCTTTACATGCTAATTCCTACTTGTTCTTGATACCTCAAATTCAACTCAGCTTTTTGAAAAGCTTTATTTGGCCCTCATTGGTGTGGCTCAGTGCACTGAGTGCCACCCTTCGAACCACCCCTCTTTCTCCTTCCCTTCCCCTCTCTCTCAAAATAAATAAAACCTCTTTTAAAAAGCTTTAATTGAATGTCTATTTCTTCTATGGACAAAACTATTCCTTCAGGCCACACTACTGTCGTTCGACTATAACTTCCCTTAGTTTCCCCCCTTAAAACCTGGTGCAGAGCAAGTGCTCAAAAAGTGTTCATCTGATGGACACTTCATATCCAAATTTTAGCTGTGAGCTTCTGGTAACCTCACACATTGAAAAGGAAGAGGATATGGATATCCTCTTTCATGGGTCTGATCTGTTCTGACAACTAACCTCTTTCCTTGGGAAATCCTTCCATTCTTGTCCCAAACTTGAAAGAACTGGGGCAGGAGAATGGGAGCAGATGAAAAGAGATGTGTTTTTCAGGTTGATGTGAAAGGTGGTTGGGGACTGGACCAGAGCCTTAAGTTCAGCTCCAGAGTCATAAAAAGGGCGGACGCAATTTCTATAGCGACGAGAGGAGGGTGTGGCTTCCCAGCTACACTCCGGGTTTCGGGTCTGCACCAGCCTCCTGTAGCTCTTCCCATCTCCGACCCCCACCAAGCAAAGTAAGGGTGAGAGGCCGAGGGGGCTCGTGATCACTCGGGGGGCCAGCCAGGTAGGTCCCAGCAGCCCTGCCCTTCGGGGGTGAAGAGGCGTTTGAGGCAATGGGGGAAGGAGGTGTCGTAAGCAGGGAGAATGAAGGGCGTACTGAATGCAAAAAAGTAGAAGAGGACGTGCGGGTCGGAGGAGAGAGGGGTGGGTGAGGGTACGGAAAGAAGACAAATACAATATTAGATGTTCTGAGCAGCTGCGTACAGCCGCCCCTTGATAACCTTTCTGTTAATGGAACGTTGCATCGCTGAGTGCGGGTGGGAGAGGTGGATGTTAGGGAACTCCTAAGACCTACTCTGAAGCTGCTAACAGCCCTGACTCCAACAGCTCTGGGCACAAAGCCCTCTTACCTCTTTTGTGTTCGTTCACTGCCTGTCCCATTCTTTTGGTCTCGAGTGCGCCCCCAACCTGCAGGTGGTCTGGTTGATACCGAACTGTTCCGACCCAACCCATAGCCCTGCACCTCCAAGCTCAGCCAGAGCCCAGTCCTTGACAGGAGAGCACTTTAAGTTGTACTCATCCAGAGCAACACCGTCCTCTCACGTGCTACTTGCTGCTCTAGGGTAATTCTCAATATTAGCAAAAATTTTCCTTAAAAAGGGGATGAATGGTGCAAAATTGGGGATTTTTTTAAAAACGTAGTTCATTTGTGGTATTTGCTATATTTGAAATGTCCATCAGCCAGTTCAAGGACTTAAGTAAGTTGTGACCCCTTATACATGTTTTAAAAGACTGTCAACAATCTTAATTCACACTTCACTGTTCAGACTTGAATGGAGAACTGGCAAAAGTGTGAGGTCATTTAAATGCGAAGTTCAGAAGTGTCCCTTCTGACTAATCTCGCTTAAGGGATTTATTCACCTACATGTAGACACATAAACTCTAGTTCTAAGGAATTCTGGATAGACTGTGCCTGATTGGTCCTGTTATTTCCCTTCTTTGTTTTAGTTCTTATCAAAAGAGTAATGACAACCTGAGGGGAGTCTCGATGTGCCAGTCACTCTTCCCTGCCATTTTCCTCTCAGCTCCATATTGTCAGCAACTTGGCTAGAATGTGTGCTTCTCAAACTCGGGAGGCCCCAGTACTGGGAGCCAGTGGTTTTCCAACCGACCCAACATGATCGCGTTGTGACCACTAAAAAGAGAAAATACTGGTCGAGATCCCATTAATGGACATACAGTGACCAGATGAGAGATGTAAAGATCTCACTGCCAGACTTAGCATTGATTACAACATAATCTAAACTAGAAAACTGGCCACTTTAAGAGAGGTGCTAAAAAATTAGAAAAGAGAGGGACAATCACACTACAGGTTCTCTCTGTTATGCTTGGATACTCAATCATATGAGGAGGGGTACGAAGTAAAACCTAGAGACGAGTAGGTGCATCAGGAGGCAAAAAGCCAATTTTGAATATTCAAAAACTCTTGAGTAGAAGAGCGAGCAGATGTTTTCTTTGCTGCTCTGCAGAGGATAACAACTAGAGGACAGGTTGCTCAACGCCATTTCTTCCAAATAACGTTACTGAACACCAGCCATATGTAAATTAAAAGCTGGGTGTGAAGTGTGGTGCCTGGAAAAACAGTGAGTTCTGTCTGTCACAGAAATATTTAGGGAGAGACTGACTGCTTGCCCTGGGTCCTCTCATCTAAAGAGGATTCCTGCCCGGGGTGGGAAAATGGGCGAGAGGGCCTCTGAAACCTCTTACAGCTTGTAAGTCTCTGGGCCCATGGACCATAAAGAGTTTTGAGGAGAATTACAGAGGGATAAAGAGTTCTCAGTAAAAGTAACTTAAATACATTAAGTACATCATCTGTTCACAGAAATGCAAGGGGAATCCCTGCTCCTTTTAACTGGCCACAATTTCTGCCCCAAATGTAGCCCCTGAGCATAAAGCTCAAGCTACTGACAACTGCAATAGAAATACTGAAGTCATAGCAGGTAGATCTCAAAAAAGATACTTCTTTTCTGGGCACAGGCATTTGGTATACTTAGATAACTCGTGTATGCAATATGGCACACACAGTGACAATGGCACCACTGTTCCTGGGTGTGATCCTCCCACCAGGCTTTGAACTCCTGAAAACAAGCATTCTGTTTTATTTCTCTTTGAATTCCCCATGCTTAGCACAGTATCTGGCATGTATCTGGTGGTCTGAAATTTTTTGATGAATTGATCTAAGCTAGCTTAGATTTCTCTCCCTTCAGCAAATTTGTACTAAGAGCTTTCAATAAATAAGTCATTATCTTCAACCTTTGATAAATATAAAAAATAAAATACAAGCTCATTATCCCAGTTCCCAAGAGATTCATAAGATGAGATGAAAATACATACACCTAAGAGAATTAACACTAAGGCTGTTGAAAAAAGTGGCAAAATGGTCCCCACAGACAAAAGTGTTGAAATCCAGAGGAAAGAGATTGCTATAGACAAGTACAGATTAGTAGGGAAACTCTGACCTTCATAATAATAGGAGGAGTTTTTACATTTTTAAGTTTCGGTTCCCAAAGCCATATTCATTCTACCGCTGAGCTGAATTTAAGTGGAAGCCAGATTCAATTCATTAGGAAAGGCACAAAATTCTTTGATAACCACAGAAGTATCCAAAGGAGGGAACTCAGGGAATAAATCACAACAGAACTTTTTTTCCCCAGTCTGGTGGTATTTAATAGAGTTAGAATCAAAGACGTTTTGAACTGGGCAGGAATTAGAGGTCTTCTGGTCCAGCCTCATCATTTTACAGATGGGGACACTGAGTATGGAGAAGATAAGCGACTTGGCTCAAAATCTATCTGGGGCAGCACTGAGACTAGACTCCAAGATTCCTCAGCATTTTCTTCTGGTTTCAGGTTCTCTTCACTTACAGAGCAAACAAAACTGAACAGAAGAAGCTCCACTTGCTTGGAAAGATGCACATGGGCATTCATTTTCTCCTACTTCCCTGTGAAGTAGATGGAGGGAGCATTTGACACACAGCCTTGGCGGGGAAAATTGTATCCATTCTTTTCCAGTGTTTGGAGTTTACAAATCCCATGCTGAATTGATAGCCAAAATTCTACTAGTTCTATCTCCAGAATTATTCCTAGGCTCATTCTTCTGCTCTGTCCTGTCTGCCATTGCCCTGGTGGAGGCCCTTATCATCTCTTGCCTGAGCTTCCTACCTGAGCTCCCCCAAACCTTGCTCCATGGTATTTTCAGAGAGATGGTCCTAAAATGCAAATCTGGGCCATGGCCACTGCAGCTCAGTTTGCTGGAGCATTGTTTGTAGAACAAAAGGTTGCTGGTTTGGTTCCTGGTCAGGGCATGTGCCCAGGTTCGATCCCTGGTTAGGGCACCTACAAGAGGGCAGTGAATCAATATTTCTCTCTCTCTCTCTCGCTCTCACTCTCTCTCTTCCCTATCTTCCAAAAACAATGAAAAAAATGTGCTGGTTGAGAATGAAAAAAATTTTTTAATACAGATTTGGTCTTGTCACCCTTAGGATAGCCACATAGGCCCCAATGCCCTACATGGACTATGTGACTCTTTACAATCCATCCCCTTCCCTGGCCTTCCACCAGCAGTGCCCAGAGACTACACTCCTAATTTCTGGAAAAGGCAATGTTCTTTAATACTTCTGTGCTTTGTGCAGTCTCATCTATCTGCCCATGACTCTGTGCCTGTCCTGTTTATTCTTCAAGGACAGTTCCACTCTGCTCCGGTGTGGAACTGTCCTCAGTTGTCCCATCAGAGTTAGCCACTGCCCTGAGGTTCACCCCGTTAGCTCTCTGCCCAGACCTCTGCTACTGCGCTACGCGTGTGCACTCTGATGGCCTGTCTCCATGCATCTCCCTCCTAGATAATGAGCTCTTCCATGGGCAGAGGCCACGTCAGCTTCATCAGAGGAATTTGTCAGCAAGTATTTGTAGGAAAGGAGGGAGAGAGGGAGGGAGGGGAGGGAGGGAGGGAAGGAGGGCAGAAGTAAAAAAAGATCATTTGCAGAGAAGCAGCTATTACTATTGTTTGCTTTTGGGTAGAATTTTTCATATCACTGTGTGTGCGTGTTAAAATTAACGTTCCCACTCACCTCCCAGCCCTGCTCCTCACTAAACTTTTTACAGTTTTTTTTTTAGATCCTTCAATATGCCTGATAAAGGCATGCAAACATCTCATTTCTTCTTAAGTAAATATTGAATCGTTATACATATTTTCTTCTTTGTACTCAATATATTATGAACATACATAAAGATTTACCTCACTCTTTAAAAAATGACTGTCTTCATAATACATATGTGCCATCATTTTAGATTTCTTGTATATCGACAAGTGACTTTTGGTTTTTCATCATCATGCAGCAATGTTGTTGTAACTCGTCTTTAATACTCTGAATAACTTCAAAATTGTGATGCTGTCGCTGTTTATTATAGTGTCTTCAAGAACCTCCCAATGGAGTGATTTGCAGAAGCTGTGAAAGCATTTGCATTGGTTCCTGTTCTGTCCCTATTTCATGTGCTCATAATGCCCTTGGTTCTGTCTAGTGTCTGGGGCTGCATAGTGGCTTCCACGAGAGTGGAGTTCAGCAGTGGCCTGCTAACGTAGCAGGAGTATGCTGGTAGTGTTAGAGTCCTCTAAGACTCTACCTTCCTCTTATATAAACCATCATTTAAACTAGATTCCATACACTTAGGTGAGTAATTTTTTTCATCTTGCAGTGAGTTATTTATTTATAGAGCTGCGCTCTGAATGAAGAAGGTGCAATATGGCCAAATGAGATCCAGGGACAGCATTTCTACCAATTGCTTCCCTTTTCTCTTTCTATAGTCATTAAGCTACTAAATAACCAGTAAATATGTCTGTATTTTAGGGCAAAAGTATTTGTGGCAAGAGCATGGTTTACGTTGCAGTTAATTAGGGGAAATGGACCTTTTCGCTTGGTGTCCTAAATTGCTCACCACCTCATTAGGTCATCTTCCTTCCTTGGCTCCTGCCCCCTCCTCCCTGAGCACCTGAGTGTTGCGCATGGGTCACCGGCCAGCAGTGATCACGGAACGCTGTGGATGGCTCGACGAAAAACACGCGAGAAAAAACACACATGCACAGAGACAGACTAGTTTCTGTGGGGAAGTAGGGACGAAATGGCCACCCCCCCCTAGTGGGGGGCGCCGATTTACAGTCCATACCTGCTTTTATTGGGCTCATTCTGCATAATAATTCAGGTAAAGTACAGAAGTCATTAGGGGGAAGTAAGGAACCATAGAAAACAAAGAACTCTGCCAGTCTATTGAGTCGGGGTCAAAGAGCTGTAAGACTGAGGAACAAACTAACTTCCTCCTAAGACCCTTCTCATTTAACTGAGAGCATTCTAAACAAAGAAGGTTTCACAGTAATTTACATGTTCTTTCTTAGGCCTGATCACCCGGGGAATCCGCACTTCTCAGCACAGAGCTGCACCGCCCTGTCATTGTTTCAGGCTTAGGTGGAGCAAGGGAACTAAGGCAACTGGGAGACAAGGAGGTTTTTTTCCCCAGACGCTGAGAACTCAGGCTATGTCAAAAGCCAAGGAGCGAGGGTCCATCACCCCCTTTTGCTGCAGCCCCCCAAGTCCTTCTTTTGGGGGGGCCTCCCAAAAGTGATCGTGCCTGTCTTAGGTCGTTTCCCCCCTTGGGGAATCTTACCCATCTTTGGCTAACTGACCAAGCTTTTTGGGGTTCAGTTATGAATAAAGCAGCAGAAGCAGCATTCCTGCCAGGGAGATAAGCTTTTGTCTTCTTGCTGGCTTACAGTTCCAAGGGCATTCCCTTAGCCTTAGCCTAGGTGGGGGTTTCAGCTTCTGATACCAGTCAGGGCGGTTCCCAACACCTGAGGACTGATGCCAAGATGCCCCCAGAAGGAAAATAAGAGGAATAGCAGAGACGCAGCCACTGCTTTTAGGCCTGCCCCTTTTTCCCTCCAGGCCTGCCTTGTGTTCTTTGCATCCCTGGGTGTTGAGGCCATTACTTATATTTTGCTCCTACTGCCAATTTATTTTGTGCTCTCCCTCCTGCAGGACTAGAATGGATGCTAAAAAGCCAAAGAAATGCAGTGTCACATCCTTCCCGATATTGAAAACAAAAAAGAATCAAAACACTCTCACTTTTGTGAAGGTAAGGATCCTGGAATTTCATTTGGACAAAAGAATGGTATCATCGTGAAGACTTGGGGACCCAGGACCCAGTGGCAACTGTGTCCCAGCATTTTACAACCGGGGAAACTGAGCTTCAGCTGAAGTTTACTAGTCGTGGCCGTAAACCAGTGAATGGAGGAGAGCATTCAAATGCCTCATCTTTTTTCTTTAGTTATATTTTGTTAGTTTCTATTGAATTTATTGGAGTGACATTGGTTAATAACATTATACAATTTTCAGGTGTATAAGATTGTAATTTGACATCTGTGTACTCTGTAACATGCTCACCATCTGAAGTCTGTTTTCCTTCTGTTGTTACATGTTTGACCCCTTTTCCACTTTGCTCTCCTTTACCCCTTTCTTCCGCTGGTAACCCCTACTCTGTTGTATCAATGAGTTTATTCTTGTTTGTTTTGTTAGTTCATACCTTACTTTTTGCTTTGTACTCCACATATGAGTGAAATCATATGGTTCTTATCCTCTACTGTCTAACTTATTTCCCTTAGCATATTTAATCTCAGGATTTATTCATATTGTTGCAAATGTCAATATCTTTTCTTTTTATGGCTGAGTAATATTCCACTGTATATATGTACCACATCAGCCAATCATCAGTCCACGGACACTTACGATGTTTTCCATGTCTTGGTAATTGTAAATAACGCTGCAACGAACATAGGGGTACATGTATTTTTTCCAAATAAGTGTTTTCATATTTTCAGGTAAATATTCAGAGGAGGTCTTACTAGATCATATGGTAGCTCTATTCCTAATTTTTTGAGGAGCCTTCATACGGTTTTCTGTAGTGGCTGCACCATTTACATTCTTACTAACAGTGTACAGGCAAACCCATATTCTTAACCACTCTGTTCCATGCGTCTTTGCTGAGTAACGTCAGTTCTGTTAAATCTTGTCATGTACAATTCCTTAATATAATTGATATTAAGAAAAGCAAATTCTGCTGCAGTTACTGTGACATGAATTGTCAAAAATCAAATTTAAAATCACACTAAAGATAAATTCATTTATGTTGTATTTATAATAACTGCTGGCAAATTGACAATATCATTTAAAATACTATTTAAACTGATAACCATTATCTCTACATTGGTAATCATTCTGATGGGCCCTATGTAGGAGACCATTCTGCGTGGCATGGGCCCAGCTCCCACTGGGAGAGGCACAGGACCCACACCCATGGATAGGTTCTTCTGTGGGGAATCAGGCCTGCAATGTGCTAAGGCTGCTTTGAGTCCTGCTCTTGCTAAAAAACTCCCTCACCCTGAAGTGAGGACATTTACTATAAAGTAACTTTCTAAAATCCATGCTAAACTTTCCAAGGAGGAGTGTAACGGGTTCAACCATTTTTGCCTTTTCATTTGCAAATATCCCTCTTCTGTGATGTGATTAGCGGTATTGGCTCCTTTGTTTTCTGTAAAAGGTAACCTCCTAAAGTGAGCCTGTGCATAGGAAATGAGGACCATCGTGTAATGTGCCAAGAAACCCAATAAAGGCCAATCATGGTAAGGGCCAAGACTTTTGCTCCCCTTGAGAGAAAAGCCATGCTGTCCCTTTTCCTCCACAGGACTCGGTAGTTTGTGTGAATGTCTCATTTCATCCATAATGACGTGAACACTGTGGGCTGGTGTCTGCATCAGCCCTAAGTAAATGCCTTTTCACCACCTGTTTGTTTTCTCCAGTGGGCTTCTCATCCAGTGAAGTGAACAGGCTTTTAAGTGAGGAGATGCAAACAAAGTAATAACTGTCCCCAGAATATAAAATCCTGAGTTTCAGTGGGTAGTTATATTAAATGGAGGATGAAAAGAGTGATTTTTAATTCCTTAATCTAAAAATCACTAACGATGGGAGATCTATGGATCTTGGCATATCAACTGCCCCAAACAGGTGTTGAAAATATTATTTTACATATTTAAATAACTTAACAATAATTGATTTTGTGTTATTTAATATGTTACATTTGTAATGATAATTAAATATTTAAGTATTTTCTATATGAGGGGTGTCAAACTCATTTTCACCAGGGGCCACATCAGCCTTGAGGTTGCCTTCCAAGGGCCAAATATAATTTTAGGACTGTGTGAATGTAACCACTCCTTAACTAGGGGCAAGGAGCTCAGCGCTGCCGCCAGGTAGAAAACAAGGTGCTGGGCTGGATAAAACAAGGTGGAGGGCCAGATTCAGCCTGCGGGCCTGTGGTCGCCACCTATGTTCTATATGATTCTTGGTAGTAGCTCAGCTAAAGGAATTTTTAAAATGCGATATTTATTAATTGATTTCACCTGGCTTTAAAACAACAGGTTTTAATATAGTATTAAGTAATAATATGATTACTGATAGGTGTAATAGTAACACAATTATATTAATAGAATAGTATGTATAGCATACAGTAGTATAGTATCCTTTTAAAACTACTCCCATCCCTTTGTCTAAAACATTGTAAAATATTAAAGATCCATTTACCAAAGTCCTTTGTGTCTGCTGTGTTTGGAGAGTCCCCATCCTTGCCTAGCTGTCAAGGACCACAAGACTCGCACAGAGGCCCTCAATCACACAGGGCCTCTCTGCCCTTCAGGAAAATGCTCTTGTGTTGTAGTTTAGGGAACATACCCTCTTCTGAAGCTCAGTTATCTCAGCTAGTAAGCTGGAGGATTTTTGGCTCTTCTGCAACTCTATTCAAAGAAAACTGTTGCCTCACAGCTGGCCATTTTCGGGGACTGGAGGAACAACGGAACTGCAGGGTCTCGGGTTCGGCCATCCCAAGAGAAGAAGGTGGGAGAGGCCTGGGGGAGAACGCTCTGTAAACCTAGGATGCTACTTTATGATTTCCCTGGCAATCAATGAGTAAATGCTACACAGTATACCTGAAAGTGTGCTTAAGATACATTTTCTAAAAAAATTTAAAAAATTAGATTTCTATTTTCAGTATGGGAAGTTTAGGTACTCCTGTTATTTCTCTTCTATCCATAAATCATTCAATTGCTGAATACCATCTCCTTAGAGAGGCCTTCCCTCGCCACACTTTCTAATTATATTATTTGTTTGTTTACGTGTTTATTGTCCTCACCCTCGAGGACTGCACTGTTCATTCAATATTGCAGCTACTGGCCACATGAGGCCATGAAGCCCCTGACATGAAGCTAGTCCAAATGGAGGTGTGAAGTGTGCTGTCAGTGAAAATACACACCACATCTTCCCCTGGCTGGGTAGCTGAGTTGGTTAGAGTGTCCCGCCGTTGCACCAAAGTCATAGGTCCGCTCCCCGGTTGGAGTACATGCGGGAGCTGAGCAGTGGATGCACGGATGAGCGGGACAGCAGCCGATGTCTTCTCTCTCCCTTCCTCTCCCTCCAAAATCAAGAAATAGAAAAATAATAATTATAAAAACACCACATTCAAAGATTGGTGTGAAAAAAATGAATGTAAAATATTTCATTGATAATTATTTGTAACTTGTTGAATTTTATAGTATATGAATGCCTCAATATTTTACAGTCATTGTATATTGATTACATGTTACTACACTGTTCTGAATATAGTGCATTAAATACAATATAATAGTAAAATTAATTTTACCTGTTTCTTCTTACTTTATTTTTTTTCTATTTTATGAGAAAAGGCTTGATTTTTAAGATTGGATATTTGTTTCTTCTTACTTTATTAACATGGCTACTAGAAAATTTTCCATTACACGTGTAGCTCACAGTATATTTTTACAGATAGTTGCTCTCACATGGAAGCTCCATACCAGCACAGATATTGAGTGCCCACTCGTTTCAGGCATTGTCCTGGGTGCTGAGGGTACAGTGGAGAACAAAACAGAACCCAAAACTCCCACAAAACCCAAAACAAAACCTCTCAGGCAGCTTAAAATTGGGATTCTTTGCAGAAAGACCAGGTGGTGCATTTGCATACCAAGAATAGCAATGACCAGCCCTCATTTTCCTCAGTGGTCAAGAGTTGACATTTAACTTAACCAGTGGTTCCCCAGCCTTGGCTGTATATCATATATTTACAATCACATGGGGGAAATTTTAAAGACGAGCGAAATCAGAATTTCTAGGGGGTCATGGACTTATTTTAAAAAGTTTCTATCACATGGGGACAGATGTCTACTTAAACATACACTATGAGATCTTGGTTAGGTTGTTAAGTCTTTCTATCTTCTGGCTGTGAAACTGGAATAGTGATCCCTACATCTTCTGATTAAATGAAATAAGAGAACACAGGCTTGCTGCCTGGCAGATGTTGAAAGCTCAGTGTATAGTAGCTGCTTTTACCTTCGCAGTTTTCCTCCTTTTGATAGAAAGGGGGTTCCTATAGATGGCAGGCTTATTAATGAGTCTCCCACAGGAGAAGAGGTTATCTGAGAGCCATTCATTCATTCTCATTTCTGTATCTCATCATTAATCAATTGGAAAAACAAACAAACAAGCAATCTGTCCATTTGGTATTGCAAAGGAACCGAATTCACAGTTATAACTGAAGAGAGAACAAAAAACAGAATCCAATTGCCAGTTTTGTTTAGGTTTTCACTGTGACACACTATTAGTTATAATAATGAATTCACCTTTTAAATGCAAGTAAAAGGCTCAGACTAGAAGAATATACAAGGGGTCAGATAACTAAGAATGAAAACATTTAAACTCGAACCACAAGCAGTCAATCTAGAATTGGTGGCTCAGTGAAAAATGGGCATACAGGATGGAGCAACGGAGGTTTACAGTTATTTGTATCAAAAATAATACAATAATGAATAATATAAGAATAAACTGTTTGCATACTTACAAGTACAAATCTACTTTTGCCCCACCCTGTATAATGCAATGTAATATCTATTTTGGGGGTACATTTGGGGTTGTGAGGGAGACCACTTACACACTTTTTCTCATTCTCTTCTAGGGCCCCACTCTTCCCTCTGAAATCTACATAGTAAGTACTGGTTCATTTGTTCTGCATTCCCC